GATAAGGTGCTATATCAATTGCAGGGATTATTATTATTATTATTATGTAGTAATAATCCTGTACTTGATTTAGCTATTTATCATGCCAACAAAACGTTTCAGAGTGCCTCACATGATTTTTACTGCAAAGTATAGTGACCATGTCTTTTTTTAAAAAAATAAGGGAATTGAGTATTAGCAAGGGTGACCCTTATCAGATCATTGAAACATGAAAATATTGAACACTCCAATGCAGAATGATCAAGTCTGCACCGGCTCACAGAGCAGACACTTCACAGGATTTCACTATGAAGTGTAGTGATTATATATTTGTGGGCAGAACTACAGAATTATATAAACAAGGAATTAACAAGTTTCACACACTATGTATCTGAACACTGGAGTTATAGCATGCATCATTCTGACAATAATATAGTTGTTATAAAGTGGTAATTTCCACTAATCCAATAATCTTTGAACAGTAGAAAAATTACCACACATAGCAGATCTTCCAGACTGAAGAAAGGATATAATTATTCACATAAAATTAAATGGCAACACTCAAAACAACAACACTTCTGGGCACCTTATATAGTATCATAGAATCAGTATGATTACTGTAGCCAAGCAATTATTGTTGTAAAACAGCTTCAGTCTCAAAAGCATCTGTTATCAAACTAACACTTCTCTCTCAGCTTACAATGAGATCACTATCAAAACGTTCGGGAAAAATCTTTCTCAAGTGTTTGTCATTGGTGCCATGTTGAGCTATCAACATTTCCCCTCTGCAGATATTACTGTCCCTGAGTAGTGAATCAAAAGGATCGGATTAAACAATCCCCAGTGTCGGTATTTCCAAGTTTTCATTGATAATTGCATAAGAAAACGATTACAGATAAAGACAGCAATTTAGTATTGTAATTTACACGCAATTAGCTTTCAGATAAATGTCCATGCTGCTTCAAAAATATAGTGCTATACATTCTGGCTCCTGTTGCAGTGCTATTTACAAAGGTTAACGGGTCGAGCTACAAGTGGACTGTTTCATTACTATAACTTCTATATCAAGGTTCCAGAGGCATGGACTACATCACTTAAGGCACTGGCAGGCTGGAGGTACTCCACATTTAATTTGGAAGGTCTTCAAAGTGGGCGGAGTGAAAGCACAGACACTTTGTTCACGGTGAGTTTTAAAGAGCTGGGTAGCCCCTCAGCCAATGGGCTTTATGTTCTAAAATCAAACAAAGATGTTGGAAATTTATCTCACCATGTTGACTTGGTAGTCTGGTAGTCATACATTACTTGTAAAGTGGTCTGGACTGTCATCAGGTAAAAAAAAAAATCACACTAAAATGTTAGCAAATGAAAACTGCACTTTTTGTGTTGGTCTTTGGCAGGGTCAAAATCTGACAGCAGCAGCCTACCATGAGCCATTCTCAGAACTTGGGGGATTGTTGGCGATGACACCAGGAGGAACTCCCTTTTCTTTGGAAAAAGCAGCGTGAAATCTTTTTTTAAAATATCTCATCTGAAGGATGGCACTTCCAACAACATAGCACATCACTGCATTCCACTGGAATGTCAAACTAGACTATGTGAGCTCGAAGTGCTAACATGCAGTAATTCCCCTCTACAACACCTGTATTGGATGTCAGACGAGAGAGTGCTACTACCTGAACCAGGCTGGCTGACACCTTAAATAGCTAAGGTAGCTTAATGTTTTGCTTATGTCCCTTCCATGGAACTGTGTTCAAAAGAAGGTGCACACTTGTAATATCAACTTGCCTTTCTGTACATTTACAGTATTTTCTGGTTTGATTTCAATGGTTTAACACGTATTTACCAAGAAACAAATAGCATATAAGGTATGTTTAAAAGCAATAACACTGGGGTCAAAATCTAATGTTTCTAAACATATTCAATGTGATAATTACTATACTGAATCTGGTAAGAACACTATAACTTTCACCACCAAGAACTGGCACTAACAATTCATATAAGAAATACCAAATGAATAGTTTCACATAAAATTTATGTTAACAAATCTGATCAAGTTTCCGATCTAACTTCTCCCAACCTCCCCCACCCCCAGTCCTGTAAGCTTTATTCTATTCCTGCTTCATACTATTGAAAGGCAAAGTTGAACAAATAGACTTGAGGATGTGGCTCAGTTATTAACTGAAGCCACCTGTGGAAAGCACAGGTTAAACTTAGCATTAAGGGACTGTAACCAATCAAAAGTGCAGTACTGAGCCTGTTCCTAAATGGTCTCTGTAAATAGTGGACAACAGGTGAAGGTCAAAAGTTACAAATAACACTTTCCCATTGTACAGTTACAGTATAACTTGGTGGTGAGCTTTATGTTGCTGATAAATGGTCCAGCTGCTAGCATATTGTCCAGAAGATTCCTCTATGCCACCAGCACACAGTAAACATGGGAGGACACGATAAATAAATCAGTCTTGAAATTGGTATAAAGTACAGCATAAAGGTTAGAAAGTAGTATGATAAAGATTAATTATTGAACCAAAAAATATTTGACTTGTCTAAGATTTCTCTTGCAAGGAATTCACGTTAACTGCTCTACACATTTGTAAATGGCTCTGAATTACTTTAGATGGTTTACTGACCCCTCCCAAGTAGGTGTTCTTCATTTATGAACCTAGACACCAAGTGTCATCAGATCTTCTGACCATGTGGGAGAGGGAAGGCCTAGTCCTGCCATTACCCAACATCCGCATTTTTTAGTACAAGTGATGATCTCTGTGTATTGAAATCATTGATATGTAAAAATATATATTTCAGAAGATCACAGATGAATACAAGTAATAATGCAAATTGAAAATATGAGAAAAGTATAACTATCTAGATATATTTCCAAAGTTAATTATGAAACCAGCTATTTCATAAGCTGTAAATTAATGAAACAGCATCTTCACAAGGATAGTTTGGCATTACATTTTCGACGCATAAGCAAACTAAAATCCACTTGCCAATCATTCTGTTATGAAGATGTACCAATTTCACACAATGGAGCTTTCAGAGCGCTCCATGAATGTGCTATTGCTTCAGTATTGATTACAGCTAGAATACAATAAAAATTACATTTATATAGCGCCTTTCACGTCGGGAGGACATCCCAAGGCGCTGGATAGTCAGAGATTTGGAACTGAGCTGGGGGTCGGGATCAGGGAGGGTGGCCGAAGGCTCGGTCGAACAGGAGTTTTGAGACACTCCTTTGAAGGAGGCAAGGGAGGGAGCGAGGCGAAGGGAATGTGGGATAGAGTTCCATAGGTTGTAGTCAGGTTGATAAGGGGTTAGCAGGTCACAGAGGCCGAGAATTGTAAACTCTATCCTCTGAGGGTTAGGGAGCCAGTAGAGACGAGCGAGAGTGGAGGTGATGGGGTCACGGAGCCTGGTGCGGGAGAGGACACAAGCTGCAGAGTTCTGGATGATCTGCAGCTTGTGGAGGGAAGAGTTGGGAAGGCCAACAAGCAGGGAGTTGGTGTACTCGAGCCTAGATGTGATGAATGAGGGTTTCGGTGGCCTGAAGGGTGAGGCAGTGGCGGTGCTAGACAATGTTGCAGAGGTGGGGGAAGGCAGAGCAGGTCATGGCATGGATGTGGGATAATAAGTGCGTTAGTCTGGCTCAGTGGTAGCATTCCTGTCTCTGAGTCTGAAGGTTCGAGTTTCAAGCCCATTTCAGGACTTTGAATCATGAGTCTAAACTGATATTGCAGTGCAGTCCTGGGGGCGGTGGGTAGGTTGCATTGTTGGAGCTGCCATCCTTCAGATGAAGCAGTAAACTGAAATCCCTTTCTGCTTGTTCAGGCAGACGTTAAAGATCCCACAGCACTATTTGAAAAGAGGAGTTTCTCCAGGTGTCCTGGTCAACAATCCCCCAATAAAATTGGGTCACTCACTCCATGGCTGCTTGAGTCATTGCTATGTGCAAAAAAATCTACTGCATCTTACCTACAAAACACACAGTCAAACCACTTTACAGTAAATCCTGTGAAGCACTTTGAGGCATCTCAACAGCGTGATAAGATGCAATATCAAATGCAAGGCTCATTATACAATATAAAGTGATGTAAATCTAGCCGACACCAGCAAAATTATCATAAGGCAGATTTGCCCATTTGATGGGGATTTGCGCCACACTTACATACTTCTGGGAAGTATGAGCCGCAGGTTGGCAAGTGCACAGGTTGGGGACCCCAGAGTGCATGTTGGGGTATAAGGTCCTGGAGTCTAAACCCCCATTGCTCGCCATTGATAATTGCTGTCCGGCAAACTTTCCCGCCGCTCGTCCGGCTGCGGCCACCCGACCCTTTAAAGGACTTGCAGAGTTATTGGCAGCTGAGTGGGAGGACTCACTGCCCCCAGTGACTGGTCTGCCCTTCCAGGACCAGCTGATGGGTCAGGTTGTCTGTGCTGTCCTCCTCAGCAGTGCCCTGGAATACACACTGCACAGACAGACGGTGACTGACTGACTGACTGACTGTCACTGGGGTCTGGGTTTCTCTGGTCACTGAAACCCTATGGCTGATCGCGCAACGTCTTACGTTCTTCCCGACGTAGCTTTGTGACGTCGGTAGCGGCCCTACCCCCTCTTCCCGCGTGCTTCACGTTCTCCACTGCAGCGGATTGTGACGTCGTTAGGTTGCTCCGCCCCTCCCCGCTCCCAGCCCCGCCCCCCGCCCCGCCCCTCCGGAGCGGCCGTTGACTGTCCCGCAAAGCCTCGGCACTGGCTGCCGTCAGCCGTGCTTCACGTTCTCCGTACGTCCGATTGTGACGTCGCTTATATGCGTGTGACGCACGCTTCCGCGTTGCGCGGACGCTGAGGATGGAAAGAGGGCGGCGAGCGGCCGGGCCCGCGGCGGGTGGCGGCCACAGCTGACTCCCGGGGGCAGCACTCAACTCACACCGGCAGCAGCCAGGCTCACACACAGCCAGGCCAGGCCAGGCCTCACAGCCAGGCCGCCGCCCGCCCGCCCGGTGTCACCTCCCTCTCCAAGCAACACAACTTTGTGCGGCGGCGGCCCTGGCCTCGGGATGTCGTCGCCCTGGGGGTCGATGGGGAGTCACCTGCGGGGGGTCCTGGACGTGGCCCTGCGGGTCCCCGCCATCTTCGTCATCGATGCCATCTTGAACTCCTACTACAACGGGGACGCCACCGTGGTCCTGGTGGCCCGGCAGATCTCGCAGCGGTTACTGGGTGAGTGAGTGAGTCAGTGAGTGTCTGACGGGCAAAGCCACGGCCCTGAGCCGCTGCCATTGCCTGCGGCCTGGGGAGCCGAGCTGCGGGGGGGGGGTTGAGGTGCTGATGGAGGGGGAGCTTGTTGAGTCAGGTGCAGTTTTTATTTTGATGGGGGTAACCCTGTCGAGTCAGGTGCAGGTGTGACAGGGAGATGTGACCCCTGTTAGAATGGCACAATTCTATGAGGGTAAAAGAGCAGCTGAAGGAAAGCACTCATTCATTTAAAAATACAAATAATTCTTGCATTTAATGTAGTGCTGTGTATGATATCGCGCTGTCTCAAAGCTGCTTTGTGGCATATACCGTAGAGTGGATTGGCTATTTTGGTGTGTGAAGATTAAGAGTATCCGACCCAAACTGAGATTTCCAGGGCGTCCCACCTACACATCGAAATTCCAGAGGTAGATTGTTGGAAAGGAATGCGCACTCACTCCCTGGAGGGACGCATCCTGGTTACCTAATTCCAGAAAGCATTAGGCGCAGGTTGGCAAGAGCCAAGGTTTGGGGGTCCCAGAGTGTGCGTTGGGGTTACGGCTGCACACGGACCAGCTTAAAAAAATTAAAGATTTAAAAACATTTTTTTAATTTAGATTTCTGAATTCAGTGATGTTGGAAAAGGCAAAGAGTGTTTGGATTGGTGTAATTCTACAGGAGATTAGTACTGATGAACTAATTAGGGCAAGATAGTATGTGGCATTTTCATTCTATAATAACTATGGATGCATATTGAGGAACAATGTTTTTCTATCTTGTATTAACAAACATCTCCTTTCTCTTGCCCTTCCCCTTTTTAATATTCTCTCCATCCACATTTATTCCTAAATTTCAAATTCTTTTCGTGCTTGACTCATTTATGGGATGTGCCTGGTATAGGTTTGTTGGTGCATTTACCTTTAAAAGAGTCAGTTAATAATGAATCTCAATTTTATGTTATAAAGTACTTCAGATTTTTTAATAATGAAGTTCAAGTTGATGCAACTGCAGTTTGAAGACCAGAGCATAAAAAGACAGAGTTGAGAAAAGATCATTTGACCCACTGTAGCTTCTCTATTGAGTACATTAACTCTCCCAGCAAGGTATCAAATTGCATATTCAATAATAATAACACTACATGTTTGCTTCTTGGTAGAGTTTCGTATTACTTTGCTTGATAATGAATCCCAACCATTTGTCGTTCTTTTGATAAAGTTTAACTCTGTTCACAAATCTGAAATGTTTGTGTCCAAATTTCTTAGAACTAATAGATCAGTTTACAACATTGAATGTTTTATACACTTCTAAGAGGTTCTTTCTTTCTCCGCACCTTCTTTCCAAACTGTGCAGCTTATTTTTCTAGTCTTTATAGTTAAACCCTTTTATAAGTTGAAACAGTTATTTTGTATATGTTTTTGTATATGTTTTCCCAATGCATTTGACTTCAAATTTTCACTGCTAACTCATGCTTGGTGGTTGGGTGGGGGGGTTAGTTCCACAGAAACTGGCAACCCTCCAATAATTCGCTCTTTACATTTGACCCTCAGAAGTAAGTATCAATTTCTGACTGGAGAGCACCACAGCTGAGCACAGCCCTGATCTCTCTGCCTCACCCCTACATACACTTTCTAGCAGGATGCACCAGATAGATAGTATTTAGGGCTAGGAAACCTGGCTGATTCCTCTGCCTCGCCCTATCTAGGGTGTAAATAATAATCTTTGCATTTGATATAGCACCTAATTCCAATGTGGCTCCCCAACAGCTAACCTTGGTAGAGTTTCACTTTCTGTGCTTAGAACAACAATTTTAAGTTTGTGTTGCTTAATGCTGCACCAGGTGTTGCCTTCGCTCCTAATGCCATGGGGTGAGGAGCTGGGAGTTTCCTTATGCATCTCTTTGACATGTTGACTCAAACTCAACATGGTATTCCAGGCACGGTCTGAACAATGGATTGTACTGCTGTGCCTTGCCTCGACATTCTCGCATTTTATTTAGTCTTAAAATTGCTTCTCATGTTATCTGAAACTTGACAGTGATGCGTTTACAATTACTTCATGTTTTCTTAAGTTTTGCCAGCTTTAATTTTAAATCCATTCACTGTGTTCTTTATCCTTTAGAAATATGGTTTTATTGAGTGTTGTAATGTTCACCTATAAATACAGTGACAGCATTAAAATCCTCTGAAGTTCTTTGAGACGTTTCAATAACATAAGGCACTTATATCAAATGCAAGGTTTATTACATGCAAATGTAAACCTATGAACAAATTATACCTGTAGAGAGGGAGAGAGTAGATAACATCTAAGTTTCACTTCATTCTTATTGAGAAGTTTATTCTTAATCGTCTGATTTTGTAAATGCGAATGGCTTGGATGAGACATGTGCAAACACACCTGTGTAAAGCTGTTGGTTGTCTAACTTGTTGTGAATCAGCTGTAGAGCTGATTCTTCAAAAAAAAATCATAATTTGCCAGGATACGAAATAATATCAACATACTGCAAACTGCAAGAGACACTTTAATGCACAGAAGGCCAGGTAATGCACAATGGCATCTAACATTGCAATTACTAAAATGGACTCCTTCCAGTAAGTACGTTACCAACTATGGGATATAGTACATAGGTAGTTCGGGACATATGTGCATGCGACCGCCAGGAAGGTGGAAGGTGAACTAGATGGACCTTGGTCTTTTTTTTCATCTAGCATTTCTTATGTTATGTAACTCTGCTGTAAAAGTAGATTGCCTTGGTATGAATATTTGTGGGTCAGTATAATGTTCTTTTGGTTCCAGAAAGATTTGTGGCTCTGAGTCATATCAGTCCTTTCCCAGTCAGGTCAATAGATATAAATTTTAATTTGAATATTTGTAGCGATTGAAAACAAAGTACATTTTGAATTGAGCAGTTTAACATTTTTTATTAACATTTAAAGAAATTAGTGGGAGTGTTGTGTTACAAGTCTGTGTAGTGCTTTGGAAAAAACTCTGACTTCCCTGCAGCTTGTCCAATTTGATTTTTTTTGTTTGAAAAGGATCAATATGAGGTTTGACAAGTAACGAAGGAGTGGGAAGATATTGGGGGTGGGTCACAATCCCATTTTGGGTTAGTCATGCAGAACAGTTGCTGAAGTCAGCAATTCAACAGGTTTGACCACCATTTTAGCTATGCAGACTATTTGGAGGCATTTTCACATTTTCTGCATCTGGCTTGGTTATCTTCCTACATGCAGTGAAGCAAAGTATTTAATAGATTAACGTAGCATTGGGCTTGTTGGGTCTGACAGGTGTTTTCCTACTCTTGAACATGTGTTTGTTCTTTGGGGAGTTATCCATGTCAGGCAAAAAAATAGTAATACTGTTTTAAACACTGGCAGAGTTTCTGAATTGTGTATTTAAGAAAACTAGAGTTTGGTAAATAAAAGTTGCACATGAACATGGTGGTGCTGTTCAATGTTGATGTTTCACTTTTTACTATTGTGCAATACAGAAAGCTGCTGTTGATAATAGAGACTGAGTAGAATGTTTTGGGTGATTACCAATATTGAATAATCATGTTTGTTGTATCCTTTCCTTTTCAGCATTACAAATTTGTTTACCACGCAGGTCAAAAGATATACATTTTAATTTGAACTTTTATAGTGAGAACTTTTGACGACAAAGTGCATTTTGAAGTTGAACCTTTTTACTTTATTAACTTTTTAAACATATCAGTGGAAGTGTTGTAAGGCTGCACCTCTGACAATATTTGGTCTCTCAACCAGGGCTGTAAGGAATATAGGTTTTCATTAAAAGCTCAGGTACAATTAGCTGTTGCTTTTGCTATTAGGTGAGTACTGCTGAGACCCTGACATGGATCAATAGCCAATTGCATGGATTGGGGTCACTTCACTATTACATCAACATGCAGCGAAGACTATGGAGTCCTGTAGCTCAGTGGTTAGAGCACTTTGCAAGTGAGAGACCTGGGTTCAATTCCAGGCAGGGCGAAACCTTGGGCAAGTTTCCTTACTCCACACACCTAAAAAANTCCCTCCAAAACAAAAAACAATAATAAATTGGTCATTTTCAATCCATGACTGTTTGTGGGACATTGCTGCCGCGTTCACCCAAAAATATACAGTCAATTCACTTTACAGTATATTCTGTGAAGCGCTTTGGGACGTCTAGAAGATGTGAAAAGCGCTATATCAAATGCAAGGATTATTATTATTATTACTACAATTTTCGCTAACTCTCTTTAGATTTCACAAGCAGAAGAGCACTTAGCAATTCCATCTGTTTTCTCATTCTGCCCTAAGTTTCAAGTAACTGATGTAGGTTGAAATATTGTGGTTCTGGCCAATAGGAGATGAAAATTAAATCTTGTAAATCTAGTTCAGGCAGCGTCAAAGTGGTTACTGAAGAACATGAAATGCATTAAATGTTGGATTACAGGTGGAAAGGAATATACTTTCCATTCTGTTCTGAAGGTATCAGCAGCGTGTTAATGTTGGTACTGGTAGTTTTGCATTTACTGATTAGACTGGAATATTTCAAGCAAACAATTTATCAAAGAAAAAATTTGCCCTGTCTTCGATCTCATAGCAATATTGAAATAGTTGAGGATTAGTGAGTCATTACTGCAATATGTGTTCATTGTGAATGTAATTGAGGCCAAGTTAAGTTCAGTTGTTTTACTTTATACAAGGGCACTGTTTAATAAATGTAAGATAAAAGTTCAAATCTCAGGTAATTGTGGGTTGAGGAACAGTCAAATCCCACACTTTAAAATGCCTTATTAATGGCAAGTAAAGAACATAAAAGCAAATAGATTAGAGAAAATAGTTTCAATGTGCTATTTGCTTCAGCAGCTTCACAGAGTATCAAAGCACTCTCTGACATATCGCTGTGCAACTCATTCTGAAAGCACATTTTCTTCACTATTTTTATTAGCCTACATGCAGTTTGGAAAAGCGTTTTTTTGTGCAATACCTGAAACTCACAGAGACGGGATATTTTCCTGGAGCAAATTTCATACCTGGTTCTTCTGACAAGTAGGTGGACAGTTCACCTGTTACTCGACTTCTGTCAGTGACCCTTTTAGGATGCTAGAAATTGTGGGGAGGAAATGGTATACTTCTTAAAAAAAAATAGAAATTCAGCTTTTGAAGACTTACTTTCCCTAATAGTAATGCCAGCCTTGGGAATTAAGCACACAATCTCATGCCCACTAATTGTGACATGGGCTGTGGGAGGGTCAATGCCACATCTTGATCATTCGCTTATTGTGGGCTTTCACTTGAGCAAATCATTGGTAAAATACAGTTTTTGTAGCACATTAAGGAAGTAGGTGAATGCTACAACAATTTCCTCTAAGAGATGATAAAGTAGGAGTTAGATTCATTTCCCTTAGTCCTTTGAGACCTTATTTGTGATTTCTCTGAAGGGCACAACGGATCAGGCATCTCACTTTAGTGCAGAGATGGTCATTAACAGGAAGTATATCCTAACATCAAGCTGAAGAGCACAATCACTGGACTGTTAGAAAGAATTTAGTGACCCAAATAAAGTACACAGCTTCAACATCAAGGGGTGTTAGATGATTTGTTGCTTGCTATTTCAAAACAGTGTAAAGCAGCAATAAATAAGGCAACCAGGATGCTGGGTTATGAGTCTTTTGAGTTTAGGTCACCAGACGTTACTAGACGCCTGGTTTACTATGCAGTCAGAATACTCTAACTGCAACCAAACCAATGATTTGTGCTGGTTTAGTATTGACTCTTTGTTTTTCTATTCGTTGCCCCTATATATAAAACCTGGGACCCATTACTGTTTTTTTTTATATAGCTTTGTCAGTTTGCCCTCGTAATTTTTAAGAATTTATTCATGCAAGCTTCTGGGCTTCTCAACTCTTTCACTTTTAAGGTTTCACTATACATTTCCCCTTTTTATTCTTCTTCCCAATGTGTATCAAGTCACACTTTCATGTCCCACCTATATTCCCCAATCTACTAACATGTCTACTACAACAACAATAAAATTACATTTGTAAAGCGCCTTTCATGTCGAGAGGATATCCCGAAGCGCTGAACAATCTGGGATCAGAACCCAAGCATGGGAGGGCGCGGGGGGGTGATGGAGGACAAAGAGGTAGAAGGCGGCTGAAGGTCAAAAAGGAGGGTCTTGAGTTGTGCCTTGAAGGAAGCACGAGAAGGAGCAAGGTGAAGAGATTTTGGGATGGAGTTCCAAAGGGTGGGGGTAGAGAGGCTGAAAGCCCAGCTGCTGATGGTAAAAATGCTGTTGGCAGCCCTGGTCAAAGTCACCAATGACATTCTGAACATCTGTGATCAGGGCTCCCTCTGCCTTCTTGTCCTCATCGACCTCTCTGCCGCCTTCGACACTGTCGACCACTCCATCCTCATACACCGCCTCTCCGCTTTACTCAATCTTCACGGATCTGCCCTTGCCTGGTTCGATTCCTATCTCTCTCACCGACTCGACTTTGTTGCCTCCTCCAGCCCCCACACTGTCACATCTGGCGTCCCCCAGGGCTCTGTCCTTGGCCCTCTCCTCTTTAATATCTACATGTTACCCCCTGGTAACATCAACCTCCATGGTTGCACACTACAACTCACTAAGCCAGTCAGGAACCTAGGTGTCATGTTTGACCCTCAGCTGTCTTCTCCCCCACATTCAAGCCATGACCCGCTCTGCTTTCCCTCACCTCCGTAACATCGTCCAACTCCGCCACTACCTCACCCCTCAGGCCTGTGAAACTCTTGTTCACGCCTTCATCACGTCCAGGCTCGACTATGCAAATGCCCTGTTTGTCGGCCTTCCCAACTCCTTCCTTCACAGGCTGCAGATAATCCAGAACTCTGCAGCCCGTGTCCTCTCCCGCATCAAACTCAGTGATCCCATCTCCCCCACTCTCGCCCGACTCCACTGGCTCCCTATCCTTCAGAGGATCCAGTTCAAGATCCTTGTCCTCACATACAAAGCCCTCCATGGCCTCGCCCCAACCTACCTCTGCGACCTCCTAACCCCCTACCAACCCGCTGATTCCCTCTGCTCAGCCGGCTCTGGCCTGCCCCACGTCCTCCGACCCACCTGTCCCACCATTGGCGGGAGAAACTTCAGCCACTCTGCCCCCAACCTCTGGAATTCCATCCCCCAGTCACTCTGCTTTGCCCCCCTCCTCATTCTCCTTCACATCCCGCCTCAAGACCCTCCTCTTCGACCATGCCATCGGCCCCCTCCCCTCCTGACCTCAGCTCGGGTCTGAAATGCTATACTCTGTCCAGCACCTTGGGAGTCCTCCTGACGTGAAAGGCGCCATACAAGTGTAATCTTGTTGTACAGCGGGTCGGGTGGGAGATATGGAGCAGGCCAGAGCCTGCTGAACGGAGGGAGCGAGCAGGTTGTTAGGGAATCAGCAGGTTAGAGAGGTAGGAGGGGGCAAGGCCATGGATGGTCTTGAAAGTGAAGACGAGGATCTTGAATTCAATCCTCTGAGGGATGGGGAGCCAGTGGAGACGGGTGAGGGTGGGGTTGATGGGGTCATGGAGCCTGGTGCGGGAGAGGTCATGAGCTGCAGAGTTCTGGATGATCTGCAGCTTGTAGGGAAGAATTGTGGAGGCCGACAAAGAGGGAGTTTCCATAATTGAGCCTTGAGGTGACAAATGCATGAATGAGGGTTTCAGCGGCTTGAGGGGTGAGGCAGTGGCAGAGTCGGAAAATGTTGCGGAGGTGGGGAAAGACAGAGCGGGTCATTGCACGGATATGGGGGAGAAAGGGCAGTTGAGGGTCGAAGGGCAGTTGAGGGTCCTGACTGGCTTGGTGAGGTGGAGTGTGCATCCATGGAGGCTGATGCTGCCGGTGCCTGAGGTGTGGAGCCGCTGGTGTGAGCCAATCAGGAGAGCCTCGGTTTTGCTGTCATTCAGCTGTAGAAAGTTGGCTCTCAACCAGGATTTGATGTCTGACAGACAGTCTGTCAGGATGTCAATTGTCCTGGAATCGAGGGTGGAGGCAGAGAGAGAGAGTTGGGTGTCATCCACGTACATGTAGAAGTTGACCCCATGTTTGCGGATGATGTCACCCAAGAGGGAGCTTGTAGAGGTTGAAGAGGAGGGGACCGAGGACAAAACCCTGAGAAACACCAAAAAAGTTTGTGCAGAGGCTGGAAGGAAATCGTTGGCGGAGACAAATTGGAGACGGTGTAAAAGATAAGACCTGAACCATTCAAGGACAGAACCTTGAAGGTTCAGGTGAGAGGAGGGGTAGTGGAGGAGGATGGTGTGGTCCACAGTATCGAAAGCAGCAGAGAGGTCGAGGAGGCAGAGAGAGACCTAGTCACAGATGGATAGGATGTCCACTTTGGAACTTTATTAAATTAGAACATTATTAAAGTTTAAAATTATTAAACATTGTTAATAACCTAAATTATTAAAGGAGTTAGGAATTGTTGTTAATGATTAATCATAGCCTAATAAGTTTTTATTTCATTTTTGTATTTGAAGCCAATTGGTTCTTGTGTTACTACCTATTTTTCTGTTTAAGGATGGATTAACATTTTAACATTGGATTAACACTTTGACTGATTAACTTCTAATTTCTTGTTTTTCCTTCTTATTTGACTTTTTTATGCTTTACTATTTTTGTTTGTTCATTCTCTCCTGCTTCTTTGAGTATATCCAATAAGAAGTTCCTTTTCTAAGCAGAAATACATGAAAGTAATGAAAGTGCCCAGAATTGATGCAGGTGGATGGATATAACTGCCTCTGCATTGTTTTCTTTATTAGGCAATGGAAATAACCATGTAACTTGCTGTGCATGATAAAGGGGCACTAAGTGTACTTGAGACGTCTCAAAGCCGTGATAAGACCTCTATATCAAATGCAAGGATTATTATTATATAAGTGTGTTTGAGTCATTATGATGACCTGGAAGTCGGCCATTTTACTTTAGCTAAAAAAGGGGCTGACTAGGTGCATGTTTTATGCAACCATTTCACTTTCTTAATATTAGCGGCACTGCCTGTACATGGCACAGGAAGTAACTTCCATGGCTATCTTACAATCCAGCAGTCAGCCATTGTTTTAACTAAAAATATTGCTATATATCAGGAAACAAAAGACAAAATGAACTTCAACATTAAATATCAACCTTGCACCAGGGTTTTTAGTTCTTCAAAAAAAATCTATACCCAAAATATTACTGCATGTTTCATGATTATGATTGATGTGTTTAGAAATCTATGGAATCTGGAATAGTGTGGCATTTTGGAACTTGCACAATCTGTTGTACAGTATATGTTCAGAGGATCAAATTGATGTGAAATGTATTTTTTATGGTATTATGTGTGTATATTGTGAATGTAAATTTAACAACTAATTTTTAAAAAATGTTGCATCTCTTTCAGGTCTTGTACTGTCGTGTATTGTCCTCGTCCTATCCCAGCGAGCACTGTTCAGGTTGTACACGTTTGGCTGTGTTGTTCTGGTGGCTGCATCTTCTGTCCTGGTGAACTACACCACATTGCACATAGAATTCTACAACGCCTACTACTCGGCAGTGTTTGGGGTACAGATGTTGCCACGCAATGGCCCCACATTGTGGATGGCACTTATTTCAATTCAGCTCACATTTGGTATTGGGTATGTGACATTACTCCAAATCTCATCAGTGTTTTCTGCATTAACCATATTGAGCTTCTTGCTGCCTGTGGTAGGCATGGCTTTGGAGATGCCAGAAGACATTCAGCATCTGCTAGTTGCCTCTTCAGCTATGTATATAACAGCACAGACTTTGTTTTATGTAACTGTGAATTTAAAATGGTTTTATTATACAACGAGGTATGTTTTTTTGTTGGTACGACACATGTATCGCACATATGGATTACAGGTTATTGTGGAGGATACGTGGAAGAGGATTCGTTTCCCTGATGTACTGCGGGTTTTCTGGTTGACTAGGCTAATGGCACAAGCCATTATTTTAGTTTACGTTGTCAAAATAACAAGAAGCGACTCTGAGAACAAATATTTTATTTCCTGGAGTGATGGCTGGGAGGTGGTCTGCAATCTCATAATAAGTGGTTGTGATTCAACATTGACTGTCTTGGGCATGAGTGCAGTCATCTCCTCTCTAGCGCACTATTTAGGACTTGGAATCCTAGCCTTCATAGGGTCCACCGAGGAAGAAGATAAGCGCCTCGGCTTTGTCGCCCCTGTTTTATTTTTCATTTTGGCTCTTCAGACGGGTTTAAGTGGATTGGAGCCTGAAGAGAGACTCATCCGCTTGAGCCGAAATATGTGCCTTCTGCTAACTGCAATCCTGCACTTCATCCATGGAATGACGGACCCTGTGCTGATGTCACTTAGTGCCTCCCATGTTTCCTCCTTCAGAAGACATTTGCCTGTCCTTGTGGTTTCTATTAGCCTTTTCATTCTTCCAATTATACTCAGCTACACTCTGTGGCGGGTCCACACGCTGAACACTTGGCTGTTTGCAGTCACGGCCTTCTGTGTTGAATTGTGCTTAAAAGTAATCGTCTCCCTAACAGTGTACACTCTGTTCATCGTCGATGGATACTACAATGTATTATGGGAAAAGCTAGACGATTACATTTACTACGTTCGCTCGACAGGCAATGTTATTGAGTTCATTTTTGGAGTGATAATGTTTGGAAATGGAGCTTACACAATGATGTTTGAATCGGGTAGTAAAATCCGTGCCTGTATGATGTGCTTACATGCTTACTTTAACATTTATTTGCAAGCTAAAAATGGATGGAAAACCTTTATAAACCGCAGGACTGCAGTTAAGAAAATAAACTCCCTCCCAGAGGTCACAGGCAGCAGGTTGCGCGATATAGATGACGTGTGCGCAATTTGCTACCAGGAGTTCACCACATCAGCACGCATCACTCCTTGCAATCACTACTTCCACGCTCTCTGCCTCCGCAAGTGGTTATACATTCAGGACACATGTCCCATGTGCCATCAAGGAGTGTATATCGAGGAGAACCAGAGGGAAACCATGGCATTTGCCAACAACAATGGAAATGTTCCCCAGCAACAGCAAGAGGTGGAGGATTTAGTGGCTGTGGCTGCTGAAGCAGCTGAGCCCAACAGTAATCTCAATGAGGACAATGACAGCATCGAGTATGATGAAGAAGAGTGGGTGACCCAGAACAACAATGCAGGAGCAGAGGATGAATACCTCGATGATGACACAGATGCAAGTGAGGAGTGAGCCTGTTGATTATACAGAACTGTCAAAGCTTTTTTTAAAAGAAAAAAAACTTATAAATTGACTGCCAAAATCAACAATCAAACATCAGGGAAGACGGTGATTATTTTTCTTTTGCTTGGGTGATTATTCAGTTACCTGTCAGACCAGTGATCAGAAAGGGGTAGAGAATGAAAGACTGCATTCCACTTAGTGCTGGGATGTACAGTAAGCACAACAGCTGTTAAGGCACTGGATAAGGACAAGTAATGGATTTCAATCTCACTTATTTATTGTAATAGCTGTTGTACTGTTTACCTCTGAAAACTGCTGGCCTCCTGTGCGACCTTAAAATTTGTGTATACTGTACATGAAATAAAAAATTTGACTTACATAAAATTCTTAGGTGTTTTTATAATGGAGACTGCTGGGTACATTTGATATAAAAATATGTAAAAAGAAAATTGTTAAATTATACATGATAGACCAATACTGGTATGTGATGGGGGGGGGGGGGGGGGGTTGGAGGAACAGAAAGAATAGATCTGTCGGTATTTGTTTTCGCCCTTTTTCCTGGAGGGAAAAATAGTTTTACAAGCAGCTCTCTTGTACATGTGCAAGGGACCATTCTTGTGTGTGAGCCTAGGCAGCAAATGCTAGTGTGCTGGTTGACTAGAGCTTGCTCAGTGCCCCTAATGTTTTCAGCAGGAATTTGTTGAGTGTTAGGAACAGATTTTTCCTATCCCAATGATACAGGCTTATTGTGGCCTTGTTCAATATACCACACTGTGTTTACCCACTGATTTTTTGGGTAGCTCAATTCTCCATTTCAGAAAATCCAAAGGTTGAAAAGAACTGTGGTGTTCACATTCTACTAGTTTTTTTTAAAAAAAACTATTTTTTGTGTTTTTAATATAAATTGTATTTTCTTACCTTCTGTATGCAAAACTATCCCCAACCAAGAGCAGACTGCAGCTGTGTAACAGTCACATCTCTATAAGAAAGAGTTGCCAAGGTGTGTGAAAGGTGATATCAGCATTCCTTCTTTGAATATATTTTTAAATCAAGGAAAAGGATAAGTTAAGTTCACTGCTTTTTTTCGAAATGGGTAATGATGGTGATTCCCTCCAATTAACCTGGGAACAATTATGCGGTATTATAGTTTCTCAAAAGTATGCCTCTTCCTCAGACTCAGTCGTGGTAGAAGCAGAGGAACACCAAACCTTCTATCCCAATGACATTACACATTATCCTCTATCTCTTATGAGCTCCCGTCAATAATTTGAAAATGTCTTGCGGTATTTTTAGCATGTTTATAAAGTAACAACTTTTTTCTAAACTGAGCATTCCAAAAAATGTATCTACAGCTGTATATTGTTGGAGGAGTGGGGTAAGAGAAGAAACTGGAGCACTTTGAACATATGCACTTTCTTCCCGTCGCCCCCCCCCCCCCCCCCCCACCCTGCAATTAAGATGTACCTGAGTCACAGTTCCTGAGATAAGGAACCAGTGTTTTTGCTGAACAGTTTTACTGAATACTTTCAGTGCCAAAATAGACTTGTTTAGAAAGTTAGCAATAGCGTAATGCCCTTTCACTAGGTGAGCATGCTCTTTCACAAGGTTACCAAAACTTTGGTTTTGCTGAATAATAAAACAAAATGTTCTGATCAAAGCAAGTGTTAATGAATTAAGCCAAAGGAGAATGAACTTGCTTGCAGAGCTGCAGTAGCTAATGTGTTAAATAAACAATTAAAAAAACAGTTGTTTTAAAAAGCTAAGTTTGCACTGAAAAGAACTGTAACCATTTGCACTTCGTATGAAGCTGTTTTAAATAGCATCAAACAAATTGTCATTTTGAAGAGATGGAATAGTGAGCGTTGCTTTATCACCCTTCATGCCTATTAACTACAATAAAATCTCATCTTGTGGACACCTCAATAATGTTGACTACTTGCTATACAAGTTATGTTTTCAGTATTTTTCCTGTTTGAAACCGTGAGCAAAATTACAAACTCGCCTACGAGTCCAAGATAAACCACGTTTTTGACTGCCCTTCACAGTGTAGGAAGTTTGGATAGCTGACCAAATATATATTTTAGCAGGTGAAGAATAGCTAATCATACGTGTACTCCAGGAAAGAACAGATTAAGAAAGGTTTCAAAAGAGGATAAGAGAGAAAAGAAATAGATACCACAGTATAAGAACATAGAAAGGGAATGGAGCAAGAATGAAAATAGTAGTTGGGACAAAATATCAGGTTTACAGAAGTTGCCTGTTATCTTTCTAAACTGGTAGTTTCTTAGGCTCACATTGCCTGATCAACTATTTAGACCTACTTGATTTAATTGTAACCAGATTGTCCTGGGCATAACTACAGTACATAGGTTGCTGTGGATGATATAAATGTAACATGGTACTGTACATATGTGTATGAAATAACTTTGCTAAAGTTGTAAATATATATTGCAGAAATAAATTCATATATTGTACAACTGATAAACAAAGTAGTTTTTTTTACAAATGACACTTAATTTGTGTGAGTGGCTATTGCATTGTATTGAACTGAATGGAGAAAAATAGTATTGTACTTGGAACAAGTTGCAAAACTATTTTAACACTGAAGTCAAATTGATTTGTAGCACTCCATGTGTGTAATTTGCTTATGTTAGTTTTTATGCAAAATTAAGTATAAAAATTTGAATTAACTTGTTTGAATGAGGTGTTTTTCTTGCTGTTTGAATAAATGGTGCCCCACTGTATATATTTTTCTTCCGAGTACTGTAGGTTCTCACTTTAGCTGCCCACCCCCATTACAAGGTTCTCTGATTTGTGATTGTGTTGTGTAACATGCTCCTGGGGAAGATCTGTGCTGCCAATACAGCTAACCCAAATCTCCTTGTGCTTAAGATCAGTCTACTTGATGAACCAGGCAGACACATTTCTTTTCATTCCTACTAATGTTTCTGTTGATCTGTCCATATAAAGTACAGACTTGGTTGCTCATATGTGCCTACCACAAAGTCCTTGAGTGTATTGGTTAGAGCACCTGCCTCACAAGTGAGAGGACCTAAGTTTGATTCCCATTCAGGATGAAACCTTAGGCAAGTTTCCTTACTCTACCAGCCTGTTTACTGAGCAGCAACTAGGAACCTGGTTGTTAGTTTAGATAGATAGTTTTTCCGGAGATAATAATCCCTCAAAAACAACTCAATTGGTCACTCAATCCACAACTGTTTGTGGGACACTGCTGTGTGCAATTGACCTGCTGTGTTTCACCCACAAAATATAGTCAATTCATTTTACACTTTAGTATATTTACTCCCTGGCACCTTCTGACCTCACTCCCCAATCCACTACCTGGCGCCTCCTCTCGACTGGCACCGGCCTCCTGCTAGTCCCTTGTACCCTCCGTCCCACCATCGGAGGTCGTACTTTCAGGCATCACGCCAGAAAACTCTGGAATACTCTCCCTCAATCCCTCTGCCTTGCCCTCTCTCCCCTTTTTCAAGTCCCACCTGAAAACCTTCCTTTTTGACCATGCTTATGGTCGCCTCCTTGACTTGGAGTCAGCTCTGCCACTGTTAAGTGCTCTTGAGATGATAACCTGCTTGGAGGCGCTATCTAAGTGCAAGTTGTCGTTATTCTGTGAAGCACTTTGAGATGTCTCGCTGATGTAATAAAGTGCAATATCAAATGCAAGGATTATTATCATAGGCCTTTGGGGGGATACGTGCCCTGGTTCAGTACCATTTCATGAATATAATGGTTGAAAGTAAAGAAGTAGAGATTTCTGTGTTTTAGGAATGAACTGAAAGGATTTTGTACAAACTTATTTTGCTTGGATTAATACACATTTATAAAAAATTATCCAATATGAAGAGTAAGTGCAAATTCAGTCTTATGTACACCAAAACTTTCTTGGCCAAATATAAACTTGTGACCTAAAGTGTCTTAATATCCTCATTCCAACTTTAGTTTTGATGTTTTGAAGAGCTATAGTATAATGCTTTTGTGGATGGCATGTATTTTAAGCAGGTTTAATAATTAAGGACACCTAAGACTTCTTTCAGACAAATGAGTATCAATTGATACTAATTTATTAATCTTTTCCCATAAATGTTAATTCCAGGAGTCATAAGTTCCAATGCTTGATCATTAACAATGACTATGTACAACATACCTAATACATTGATCTGTATTGCCTCAAACCACTCGTATTTTGATACTCTAACGGGCAACACCAGAAGCTAATATAGGAACTTCACCATTACACAGAGATATGCAAAGGCTTAAATTACACAGGCTTACCATGAGGCACTAGCAGACATCTTAAAATGCATGTGCTAACAATCCTGTACATGCTAAGAACAATGAATGAGGATGCAATAATAAGGCGATGTGATTCATCATGAATTTTTGGCTGTGCTACGTATGTAGACTCTGCCCCAAACCAAACGGACCACTGTAATACATCCAATGTCTGCTACTATTTGTATAATGAGCTCTGGATATCTAAGTGATCAATATTGACCACTGGACCAAATATCAACTGAATTATATTCCAATAATAGTTTAACACATTGAGATACATACATAATGTGCATTAGGGATCTGCCTTCTAGTACAAATCCTAAAATGTATTGAAAATGACTGACATTGTATAATTTATTGGATCTCTTACTGTACATATGCACCTTAACTAGATAGGAAGGGACCAGAAAGAAACCCATCATTCATACATTAAAGGTAGTCTTTCCTCATTTGCAAAATATTTCCACTTTGAGCAGCATATGTGTGAATTGTATGTGTTAATTGACGTTATAGCAGCCTGTCCTTTGCTTCCAGCTTGAATTCATTCCTAGGGAGAACCCAATGCAGAATGAACTGTGGTATGAGAATGGTACCTTTAAACATACTGCCAGCTGCACTGACATTGGGTTTTTAAAACCATTTAATAGGATTGATGCACTTGCTGATCAGCTGTTGGGAAAGAAGACCTTTACAGTATTGTTGTACAAAGTGTTGCCCAGTTCACGTGCATCCTCTTCCCGCACTGCAGCCATGATCTCCAATATTTGACTGTTAAAGAGTGAAGATTAAAAGAATTAATTTCACTACATGTCTTGGGTTTAGCCACAAATGTTCTGCATGAAGCATTATCACCTTCCTCTAGTGCACTTTATACAGAGAACATGGTATCTACTACAAATGTTGGTGGGGCTGTTGCTGCTGAAGGTCAGTGTATTTTGCTTAGATATGGTGCACACAACAGCAGTGGCAGCTTTTGAGAAAATGTTGCATTACGTAACAGAATTGTAACTCCTTTGCAATGAGAGGAAGAGATCCTTGCTTCAGTAGCTGTTTCCCTATCCAAGTGCTTGGCGTTTCAATTCTCCATTGTATCCAGAGATGGTCTTATGATTTATAGGGGTAACCCACATGTATCTTGAAGCATTTCAATCAATTCATCAATAAAGCAGCAGATCCCTCAGGTCAGAGTGGGGCTAAACAAGAGTCCCCAAGCTTAGTACACTGAATTGAGGTGCTTATAGAAAATGTCAGACCAGACGCAAGTAGACTTGCAGTGGTGGGCTTGAAAACACTCTTAAGACATTTTGCTCATTTCTAAATTAAAATACTTGAGTACATTTGACTGAAAGTCGTTGATTTGTACTTATTTTAACCAACAGAGGGGAATGAGTTTGTCTCCATAAAATTAAAAGCACCATTAAAAATAGATGCATCACCTTGAGATCGATCCTGTAAACTGATATTTTCCTATACTGCCTGATCTGTAGTCAGGCCAAACTAGAGACAGCAGGAAGCTGGTGATGTCGTTTTCAAAGTCAAGTTAGTCCAAAAGATGCCATGGAGATTTACTGCATAATGCCCTTTATACAATACAAATTTACAATTATATAGCACCTTTTACGTCAGGTGGATGTCCCAAGGTGCTTAACAGCACCGAAACTGGAGGTGGGAGGGAAAAAGTGAATGAAAGTGCAATCAAAGAGATGGGTCCTGAGACGGATCTTAAAGTTTTTACAGTGGGGAGTGAGAAGCGTTTTGCAGGCATTCTTGCTTGTCAAAACTGCCTCTGCTGAAAAAAGTGGCAAGATTAATATGACCGTAGAATGATGAATTTTATTTGTGTGTAAGTTTAAACTTGGGAGTGAGTCAGCAAAAAATCTTTAAAAAAAAATAAAACTCTTCACTTTTAAGCTAGATCAGCACAGTCGATTTAACAAAATGAGGGATATTTTCACTGAACGTAAACCATCGTTCTCGTTGACTACAAATCAATAATAGGGTACGAAAATAATAGGAACCATATTTCAATATGAAGACTGGCTGTAATGAGTTTTATGACAAGTTTTGTATAAGAAAAACAAAATGAAAACATGCACTGTGAACAATAGCAGGGAAATGGGGCTTTGCTGTAACTTGTAAAAATGTTTTGTTAAAACTTGTGTAATATGATTGAAATGTATGAATTGCCCAGATTGCTTTTTAGGGCTCTTTGTGTAAAACTTGTAGTGTTTAACTTGATGTTAAAATATCACCATAATTGATATTTGTGTGAAATTAATATTGCAAAATTCACATTACAGTATAACTGCTGCTGCATTTCAACCACAAAATACACAGTCAATCCACTTTACAGTATAACCTGTGAAGCACTTTGAGATGTTTGTCATGATAAGGCCCTATGTCAAATGTAAGGATTGTAAATGGGCACTAGGAGAAAACACTTTTTTCCTCTCCTGATCAGTTGGCATTTGAACTCAGGCAAAAATATTGTTAGAAGATGATCTAATGTTTTAAAATGAAAGAAAGGAAAGTAATAACTTGGATGTGCAGACATATCTTGTCAAAACCAGGAAAGATGATCTGAGTAGGCACCAAAGTATCTATGAACCAAGATTACCTTCAGAAAAAGTCTTAATGTTTTAGAATAACTTGTAGAATAGACTGTCACTGAATCTGGCTTGATTTGAAGCAATAAAAAAGGGAACAGATCATTTCCTAATTCAGCAGCCGTGGAGGAACTGGAGCTTTTATTAGGGGAGGGGAGTAAAACCTGGCCAAATTGAGCACTAAATTAGGATGTGAAATGAAAGAATGGACTGAATACCTTTCTCTCAAAGCTGTTCTTTATTAATTTAGTATCTCAATTAAGTTTCCTAATGAAATTATATGAGGACAGTCCCAGCAAAAATCTCAAGGGCTAATTATGTCAGAGATGCACTAAAATCTCAGCCAGCCAGACCAATTGGGGGGTGGGAGCTGGAGTTTCTGGTTGATATTATATCAGAAATATACTATTTCTGATGATTACTATATTCAGCAATTACAATACTGATATCAGTAATTTTCCATGCCAAAAATGCCAGGAATTGTTTGACCCAAAGATAGCGAATAAGCAATTCAAACAATCAAAGTTAATAGTCCTAATCACTGAATGACAGCAAGGACTGTGAGGCGGGGGTGATCATTAGGAGAGTGACCAGCAGGAGTCTACACAGAACACAGATTTTTTTTATTATTTAATTCTGTTTCAGGCTCAGTCCAGCTATGTACAAATTCTGGATACATGGAGTCTGGTAAGTCACTATATTGTGCTCAGAAAAATTACTTACATAATATGGCATGGCTCATTCCTGTCCTTCAGGCAGTATTCCTTTTCCCATTTCTTTTTGGTAGGAAAGGTTGTTTTCACAAACTTTGCTCCCGCGTGAGTGTTTTTTACTCCACACCATGGTGCATCTGATGAAAGAAATACAGTAATTGTATGACTGGATTCTAATTTACACAGCTGAAACCAGACAGCCATCTAGTCACAGAATCATACAGCACAGAAGGAGGCCATTCAGCCCATCGTGTCTGTACCGGCTCTTTGAAAAGAGCTATCCAAATCAATTCCACTCTCATGCTTTCTCCCCATAGCCCTGCAAACTTCTTGTCCCCAAATAATTATCTACTTCCCTCTTAAAAGTTGTTATTGAATCGGCTTCCACCACCCCTTCAGGCAATGCCTGATGTTAAAGTCTTACGTATTCTCATCTCGACTGTGATAAAACACTTGATATTATGTTAACCGCCTGGAATTTCTTGAAAAATCGGCAGAAGTATTAGCAGTCTCCATGATCTCTGGGAAATGGTGGTCCTGAATCAACTCCAGATTGATTTAATTTAAATCTTCCTCTGACAAAGTTAGAGAAGTTTTTTTCACTAATTCCAGTAAAAACTTGGTTGAGACTGGCCAAACTCATTTTACATAGTACCATTGCAGCCAGCAAACAAACCAGACTTCAACCATCAGAAAGAAGTCTTTAAGTACAGTAGGATAACATTGCAGTTGGGTCACCATAAAACAAATGACTGGAATCTGAATTTTAGCCACCCTGCTGTATAGGATAACCTGATTCATAACTGGAATGAATCCTTGATATGAACATCTTTCTCAAAGTTACCTGTTGCAGAATATACTGGATTGACTACTTTTTGGGCAAACTCGGCAGCCAGTTGCACACAGCAATGCCCCCAAAACAGCCATGGAGTAAGTGACAATTGTATTTGGGGGATTTGTTGGCCAGGTCACCAGGGGAAACTCCCTTCTATTTTTGAATAGTCCCATGGGATCTTTAACATCCATCTGAACAGATAAATGTGACCTTGGTTTAACTTTTCATCCAAAGGTCGACATATCCGACGATGTAACAACCCCCCCCCCCAACCCCCAGCACTGCTTTGGGGCGTCTGCTTAGACTATGTGATAACAAGTCTTGATATGGGGCTTGATCCCACAACCTCCTGACTCAGGAGCGAGAAGCGAAATAATTCTTCCTCCAATTAAACTTGCCTTAGAGGCGAACTCAGCACTTCAGTTATATCTTTTTTTAAACAAAGGATTTCAAAACAATGTTCTAAAGCAACATTTAAACAGAATCATAAAAAAAACTGATATACATTACACTACATTCCAATATCAATATTGCTGTTGATAAAAACTTACCAGTTTCTATCATCAGCCTTTCGCTTGGGATGGATTTCATGGCTTCAAGATTGGATTCAGTTTTTAAGGAGCTGAAAGAACAGAGTTTGCATTCAACACAACTGGCACAGAAGTGTATTCCCTTTTCATTTAGAACCTCCTGTAGCTAATAAGGAAACTCTGAGCTAGGGACAACAGCTCCTGGAAGGTGTTCCATGAAGTTCAGATTTGTAAATATATCCAGTGTGCTTGTTAGCTACCTGATCAGTATGCAGAGAGGTAAGCAGTTGTTACCGAAGCTCCACATTTTCACATAAAGGAGCTATGACTAATTCACCAAGAAGCTCGCAAGTTAAACACTCAAATGACCAACTAGTGACTATCCTCGGAGAATAGGGGAAAGTATAAAGTGAACTGACTATATTTTGTGGGCGAAACCCAGCAGCCAATTGCACACAGCAGTATCCCACAAACAGTCTTGGATTGAGTAACCAATTTTTTTTAAAAGGAATTATTACCCCCGGAAAAGCGATCCACCAATCGACTTAACGACTGAGATCCTACTTACTGCTAGGTAAACAGAGGCGTGTGGAGTAAGGAAACTTGCCTAAGATTTCGACCTGCCGGGATTCAAACCCAGGACTCTCGCTTGCGAGGTGAGTGCTCTAACCATTGAGCTGCAGGGATCCACTCCAAAATGTTGATATGCTTGACAATTCAGCAGCAAGTTGCATTCATACATACAAATAATTACACTGTAATTGTAACAGCAATGGCTTTTAATCCAGTTTCTTGTTACTGTTCTTTTTGAACAATGATTTCCCTTATTGAATGACTCAGTTAAAAACGAGAGCACCCGCAATACCAGAGCAAACAGGAGAGCCCTGTTAGCGAGAGGCTGCTGCACACAATCAATCAGCAGATTAGATCTAAATTAAATAACATATAGGAGAATAGAAACCAATATGGGATAAATCAGCAATAGGACGTGGTGAGCTTCAGAAAGCACAAAATTACAGAAGTTTCAATTTCATCTACTGGGTGAAATGCATGACACATTACAGACATTGAAGTCTAAGATACTGAGTGTTACTAATGTTAGTTTTGCTACTGGCAATCAATCAATTTTATTCTAATAAATGACCTTGCGTTGGATAAAGGGGCTCATCATATTGTTGAAATGCCTCAAAATGTAGCCATTGTATTTGTATGCAAACAACAATGCGTGCAGGGCAAACTGCCCTGAAGTGGGTAACATTTGCCCAGATTGGAAACCTACAAGCTTGAGCTCACGTCGCAACATTCTTAGCGCAGCTCAGTATAGTCAAACCCAATTATAACACACTTCATTAGAATGCAGTTCACTGAAATTGCAAATGTAGTGTAGAACCAATTCACTGTGAATGTCCAGCTCCCACATTAAAAAATGTCCAGCTTTCAGGTCATTAGGTAACCAACATTACCAGTGCAGTGAATGTAGAAGCACTGAGCAGCTATTGTGGACTCCAGCTAACACCTTATAATGAGACTCCGCTGTGGTACTCAAGCTGTCCATTGCCCCAACCAATTTGGCTATAAAATGCTTTTCAATTTCAGAGTTCCAAAGAGTGATACAACATGGAAACAAGCTATTCGGCTCAAACCAGTCTATGCTTGTGTTTATACTCCACAGGAGTTCCCAACCCTAAACCCTTCTATTCTCTTTGTGAGTTCCACGTTCTCCCCACATTCTCCATGAAGAAATTCCTCCTAAACTCTCTACTGGATCACCAACTAGCGATCTTATATGTATGCCCTCTGGTTTTGGACTCACCAAGTGGAAGCAGCCTATAGCCATCAATCTTCTCAAATCCTTTCATAATCCTTTCACACCTAAGATCCCGTCAACCATCTCAACTCTAGAGAGAAAAGCGATCTGTCCAATCTTTCTTTACAGCTGTAACTACTTATCCCTAGTAATATCATTGTAAAACCCAAGAACGATCAGATTTGAAAGTTTGTTTTTAAAAGGACTCAGACTCCATGCTCCTTATTAACATGCAAACCAAAGCTGCAGCCTGTGCAGTGAAACCCACCAGCCGTTGATGCCAATGTAGAGGCCCATTTCCACAAGAGCAGCTGCTTCTTCTTTTGTACCATCGAAAGAATGTACCTAGAGAAAATTAGAACACCTAGATTTTATAAAAGCAATCATTAACTAAGTCTATTTTAAAATACAATAAATATTGTCTGCTGACTTCTACAAGGCAGTAGACTGTAATTTAAAAATTAGTGTTAAAAATAAGTTCATGAATACTTGCTAGTCCACTTTCTGCAAACTCCTTTAAGAAGTGACAATGCTGCTTACTGCTAGGAACTACGGTTTTATCAAACAAAGAGTCATGTGGAATCTTTGCCCCTTGTTAGGCAAACTGGCTTGAAGCAGGCACCTGATTCAGATTAGCACCCAAAGGGCACTGTCAAACAGCATAGAGATATAGCCTGGCATTCAATGGGCACTCCAACATTCGAGGTTAGAGATCAGCTTCAGAAAGATATTCATTGCGGACTCCCACCTCATAGCTAAAGCAGAGACAGACAACTTAACTCATCAACTTCCTTGCATTTTGCATTTGATTGGACAAATAAATAGAATTATACTACAGTTACTTACCACTCCTCCAACACATCTGTCCATATTTCTCCTCATTATATCTACAAAAATAGCAGTTCAAACTGTTCAGAACGATTTAGGGCAAATTATATCTACAGTGTATTTTGCTTAACTAGAAACATTTACAATAGAAGATTGTACTGGTCATTTATAAAATGTTTTTTAAACATAGTATAATTTAAATCAATACCAAAACCATATTACCTAAATAGAGCTTCAAAACAAGGTAAAATATATAGGTATAACTGTTGCAAAAGGTAACAAAGAGAAGCAAAGACTGAAGTGTCATATGGGAGTCATTTGACAATAACTGAAATGAGTAGTAGATGATTAAGTATGGAAAATAAACAGAATTAAATCACTCCAAGTAGCTTAGACCACATGGGATCACAAAAAATCAAAGAAGCCATTGGTGAGTCTGGTTAATATTTTTGCGCTCTACCCAAAACTCAAGGATAGTAAACTTATCAAGTTTTAAAAAGTCATGAACTCAGGAATTATAGATCATTAGCATAATATCTGTAGTGGGAAAACATTCAAGAGATTTTAACTGGTTAAGTACACTCTAATAACGAGAGGCCTTGGCTCTTACCAATTCTTGCCTAATAACTCCCTGAATCAGTCAAGCAGTCTATGGACAGCATGCATTACATTCCAGACAGACAAATCTCCCTGTGTAGATGACATACATATGTGGAACTCAGTCTGATTTGGACACTCTTAAGCATTGTGATGGGTTTTCACATCTCAAACACCTGACTTGACAAAAAATATGTACATCACTAACTGCCCGAACCACACAATCTCCTGAAGAGCATGAGGAAAAAGCAGTAACCCTCCAAGAAAGCTGAGTTCTCTCCAACCCTTAAAGGCAAAAGTTAAACTTCAAGAAACGAATACAATCTTATAGCACACAATGTCCAACCAATTCCACTCCACAGATAACTCATCCATTGTCCGAGCAGCACATGAACCATCTCATTCCAACTCGCTCATTTACCTCAGTTCTTATTCTCATAATCATAAATCCTATTCCTAAAGTAGGTTTATCATCATATTCTTTGTAAATGGAGTTAATTGACGTAAAATTAACCGCTTTTGTTGGGTGATGATTTTACATTTCCAGAACTCTAGAATTATTTTTTCTAATCCTTAATGTCAGTTGAAGTGTGTTAATGCTGACATTCTCTATTCTCCAATCACAGTGTAAGTTAATAACCTGCTCAGATTGATATTCATGTCTCTCTTCAGCAAAGCTTGAAAGTGTCTCCACTGAATCTTTTCTCAAAGATAATAAATTTGAGTTCCGAGTCACTTTTTCGAGCCACTTTTCCGATCCGGAGATCCAAGAGCCAGAATCCTCCCCATCCTTCTGAACCCTTTCCAACATTACAATATTGTTTGCATGCAACATGCCCTACATCGCACATAATGTTCTAAGTGTAGTCTTAGCAATGAACTCACCAGGATTGGCTCATGCTGGTTTCACAAGCAGCACCTACCCACTGAGACCTTATCTATGACCATCGTCAACGTGTGAGCTTGAAACAGGCTATTTGATCCTAGAAGGCATCAGTCATTTCCATCCTCATCAAGGGCCCCAAATTCCTCAATATCTTAACCTTAAAACCGTTCCCTTCAAATTCAAGATTTTACAGTATTTTGGAAAATTCTAAAATTAAGTCTTATTTTGAATGTCAGCTTTCTGCAGTTCTTGAACATTCAAATTTAACCCTGCTTTTAAGAATTTTCCCAAATTCCTTCACAATCATGAATTTTAATACAATTGTCTTAAGGCTATGATAATGAGAAGTTTTGTGCCTGAGCTATCCACAGCTGTAGGCTTTTCTGCAAGGAGTCATCAGACAATAAAGCGGGAGGCCAGGAGTCCTGGGGCATCAAGATCCAGATGTAAGCCACCCTTACCCCAGCTTAGATCATTTACATCTGGACAAACCTGGAGCCTTCTGGTTTGTACGGATCGCTGATTCATCCCAGATTTGTTATATAATCCTACAGAATGTCTTTGATCCAGAATTGGGGGAAGAGTGAAGGGAGGGAACCTGGGGTTCATTGGAGCGGGAGCTTGACTGAGTCACTGCTGAATTTAACTGGGGTCTGCTAGAAACTATCTTAGTATTCTATATCTGTATAATAACCCTCTTCCTCCATTTAAAAAAATACCTAAAAATTCTGGATGTGAATTTCTGCAGTGTAGAAACATAGGCAATTTAGTGTCTTCTGCCAAGTCAAACTGCTTTTCAAAGTATCTGAAAAACAAAAATATTTTCATCAGACATTAAACATTCAAAGATAGAAGTTAATCAAAGTTTCATATAAAAGGCAAAATACTGCAGATGCTGGAAATCTGAAATAAAAACAGAAGTCACTGGGAACAGCCAGCAGGTCAGGCAGCATCTATGGAGAGAGGAAAGTGATGAAAGATCATTAATCTTCAATAATCTGAAATGTTAGCTCACTTTCCTCTCTCCATAGATGCTGCCTGACCTGCTGCGTGTTCCCAGCAACTTCAGTTTTTATTTAAGGTTTCAGCTAACTACTATGGGGTAATTTGGGAATCTACAGCTTGGTTTTGAGGTGAGATCTCAATAACAGCTTTGAAAAAACAGAGATTAGGTTTGGTACAAGGCACAGCACAGAAGCATGAAAAAAGACCTTTGTTGTGGCTGTAATAAATGTTTGTTTACTACTTTTTTATATTAAATCATTGTTTCAGTTGTGAAAACTACAATTTCAGCTGAGACTTCAGTATGTAATGAAGAATGTGCCTTTTGCCTAGTCTGGAAGTAAGTTACCAACCTCCACTAAGAATATAATTCTAAAGTAGATAAGACCAAGAAATTGCCAATTTATTTTTGTGCTGAACTAAGGCAGTGGAGGCAGATAATTCAAGAAGGAACTACAGCTATTTGGGGAAGAAATCGATTGAGAGTGATTAGAGACTGAGTGGTGGAAGATTATTATTTTTAACTTTAGGACTGCAAAGTTCTTTTCTGGTCCTTATATATTCATAAGTTTAAGTATCATAAGTATAAGTTCTATGTTTTGCAAAGGCAATTTGTTAAGAGGACTTTCTCCAAGTACAATTAGAAGTAAAAATGGCACAGAATTAATTGGTGACATTTACAAAGAAAGCAACGAACCATTAAGTAGCATAACGTTATGAAATGCACACATCACTGCATGTCAGATAACAACAACTTCCATTTATATAGCGCTCTTCATGTAGGATAGGTTGAGTAACAAAGAGTGAGGAGGAGTGGGGGCATTTTGGGATGGGGTGGCTTGCGTCAGGGGCAGCAGCCAAACGCGCACACCGAGACTGGGAGCAGAGAAATCAGCGAGGCATTGTCAGCACAGAGATATGGCGTCTGCGGGAGGCTAGAGGTGACAGTGCAGCTCAGCATTTCTCTTCATCTAAGATAGAGTGTTTAATACACAATCTGTGTGCTCAGCAGTAACATCAATCACTCAGAGTAGATGAATGAATTGCTATTAACTGCCTGCTCTGGTATCAAGAAGTGATTACTTCCAAACCCTGGCTCCTTTCCAATACGGGGGCGTGTAAAGACCAAGCGCTTGCTTAGTGGCAATGTGAATGTAAACCCTGGAGACTGAAGACTGTTTCACTACCTACACTATACGTAGTTTCATGGAAAGCGTAGGTTTAGCCTGAGAAACGTTCAGAAAGAAATTAAATTGCATTGAGCGTGTTGCCTGCGTCCATTCACATGCAGAAATTATCTGCTTGTGAATGGATTCCAGAAAGTTTATCCCAGCTGGGCATTTAAGCCAGTAAATACATCCACACAGAAGATCAAGGGCTCAAATTCAAAGGGCTTATGTAATAATACATCAAAAATGTCCTTGGTATAAACTTCAAATCGTTATCTAACTGTCTGGTTTAAGACAGTTCACTGACACAGCCAGCCAGAAGCAAAGCAAAAGATGGAGGGAAATAGGTACTTTATCTATTTAATTCTTGAAGGATGATCTAGAACAAGCAAATACAATATACACTACTTTTTCTATTGTTAAAATACTCCCTTGTTAAAATACTAACAATCTGCATTACACAACTGAAAAAAAATCATTTAAAATATTTCCAATGCTAATGCTTAAAACAGAATTAGAGAAGTGTACAGAACTAGGGGATATTAAATGCTGACCCTGTGATGAAATAGCAAGACGCGAGCACGTCAAATGTTCCTAAAGGGAACCTTCCATTGAAGCCAATTTATTACAATGCAGGCTTGGCGTTTGGGATCCCTATGATCCCAATCAATAATAGTAATAATAATTGTCGCAGTTGATACTGCGCTTTTCAAGTTGGTAGGACATCTCAAAGTGCTCATAAGAATTACTGTGTAGTGTAGTGACTGTGTATTTTGTAGGGAAATGCAGCAGCATTCTGCACACAACAATGTCCCATAAACTAGCATGAAGTGAATGTCCAATTTTACCAGGGTGATTGTTGGCAGAACACCATGAAAAACTCCCTTCTCTTTTTAATAGTGCCATGAGATCTACAACGTCCTCCAGAACAGGCAGACACTTCTTCGGTTTAATGTCTCATCTGAAGGACAACACCTCCAATAATGCAGCACACCTCCACTGGATTGTCTATTGTCAGCCTAGACAATACCAGTTCAAATACCAGAGATGAGTCAGAACCCACAACAATCTGACTCAGAGATGAGAGTGCTATAAACTGAGCCAGGCTAACACCTAATTTTATGTGGATACCTTGCCAGGAGAAATTCCCTTCTCTATTTGAATAGTGCAATGGAATTTAATGTGCATCTGAACAGGCAAATAGGGCCTTGTTTAACATTATATCAGAAGGACAGTTTCTCTGACAATGCAGCACCTCTCCAACGCTGCAGCTTGAACCAATCACCTTTGATTCAGAGGCGAAAGTGCTATCAGCTGAGCCAGGCTGAAACCTCATCAGCCTGAAACCTAACCCATGATTTAGTAGCGGGTTTGACTGGAATCGTACAACCAGCTGGGGCGCAATGAGCATTCTGACCAGTTCCCACACAAATAGAATCATCACGTCACCACAACAGCACTTGCTTTGCACATTCGCAAAGCGGGAAGAAACGTTGGTGATGAACCGAGGCTAAAGAGGGGCCTTTTTTAACATAGGAAACTAAAAAGGCCAAGGTCCAGGTCATTAGGTGATTGTCATTGTCACTTCGCTCATAGGCAGTAAAATAGGAAGCAATGTTAATGACAAATAATGAATCAGATATTAGCCATTTTAGCCAACCAACAAGCGAGAAACAAGTGGGTTAGCTGTGCACAAATTGGGGTCTGCGTTATAAGTAAATTCAAAAGATCACAAGATTGGTTTGGATGAAGATGTCGATGTTGTTAGTTACCCTATGTGAAGGAAAACTTCCTGTAGCTGATCTGAAATTACCGTTTACAACTCTAAACCTGTGTCCTCTTGTTCTTCTGTCTTGGTGCATCCTAAAATATTGATCTGGATTTACTTTTTCAATCCCATTTTAAAATTTCATAATTTCTATCCGTCGTCTTCTCTCAAGACTGGAGAGCCCTATATCTAATCACAGCTCCTAGTTCATTCCCCTAACACTGAGGATTATTCAGGCCCGGTAACCTCCTTATGTCACGGTAAACAGAAATGAACAGTATGTAGTACTCTAGGTTCAGTCTTACAGTGAAGAGCTGCACTGGACTTTGTAAGAGTGACTGCAAGTAACACAAAGCCAAGTATTTGGTCAAATTTTTTGGACCATTACACTCAGGTGCAAGAGAGCCATAAGTCAAAGAACCTTTTTCCCCAGTATCTGGTCCTACAATCCTCCACAATCAATAAGATGTTCTAAAATTATAAATGCTGTATGAAATCAATGATTATGATTATTATTATATTCTGGACAAGTCATAAACAAATGTTGGTTTGGACAAGGTACCTACAGAAGTTATCAATGAAACAATGAAACTGCAGGGATTTTTCCAATTGAACATTAAATAAATCCTTAAACTCACTCAGTTCCAGGTGTAAAACTTACAGATTTGCTTAGTTTTGCCACATATTGTGATGATGTAGTCATTAAGAGAGTGAACTAACCACTTCTAAGGAGTGACAATGAATAAGAAAATATGTCTTTCTAATGGATACCACTAAAGTGTTATCCATTAGTGAATGTGTTTTTAAATAAAACAGGAAAATAAATTATAACTAGGTCCACAGCACATCAGAGCTTCAACATTTTACAGTGACTGTGTGGATTTAATCCATCACTCCAGCTTTTTCAATCTCAGCCCTGCTACTGTGTGCAGATGTGTGTGTGTGTCTGTCTCGTCGTGGAGGTAATTGGGGAAAGGAATCTCGGGGCCAATGGCACCTGCTTCACAATGGAACCAGAGGGAAGGGGAAGGGAGGGGGGGAGCGAGGGTACAAGCAATCTGCAGGTTCCAATTGGACACAAGAGACCGGGGAGGACAAAAAGAAAATGCTACTTACTTCAGCTGCGTCTCTTTAGGGCAGAACTCCAATCTGTCAAAGTCTAAAGGAGAAAAATAAAACAAAGGAAAGAGTAAGTTAAGGGGGTAAATTCAGAACAAATCTGCGGAGACACTACTCAGTGAGTGAGTAGTAAACTTATGGAGCAGGCTCCCTAGAGAGGCGGTGGAAGCAGAAACTGTTGTTTATTTCAAGAACAAATTAGATAGATTTCTGCTTGAAAACAATATCTCGGGATGCAATATATAGTTTGGGAAATGACATGTCAAGCGACTACCAGGATGATGGAAGGCGAACTAAATCGACCTTGGTCTTCTTTCGCCTAGCAAATTCTTATGTTCTTATTTGTAAATGATTAGTAAATTAGAAATGTAAATGGTGTGTTTCTAAAGTTTAATTGGAGGTATAATCCATACTTCCATTCCATGGTGTACTTACTCATATTACCCCCACATTCAAAAAAGGTTGCAACTTCAACTGGCTGAATTTTTTAATACATGTTCAGCTGAGAAATAACTCTACAAGCCTCTATTTCTCAATGGAATGTTCCTCTCTACCTTATACTCTTACAGTTCCCAGTTCCATATGAAGAAATGGGTATTCCTGATCTACAAAGAGGAAAAATAAATATTGGACTACCCAGAGCAGCCAATTCACTTGTGCATCTGTGGAGATGAGAATAATGCCATCGTGATATCAAAAGTTTTAATGGCTGCCCAAAATGAGATGTCACCTTCAGCAATGTCATTTCATTTCAAAAGGCAGTATTGAAAATATTTGGGTGATGAATTCACTGAATGCTCAGAAGCGTCAGATAATCTTTTCTCTGATGAAGTTTCACTTTTGCAAGTGAGAGGAGATACCCTGTGTCAGAGAGTTATGAAAATTGACTAGATACACCAGGGCTAATTGTCCTTGAAAAGGGATCTCAGAAGGGAGTTTATAGAGGTATATAAGATGCTAAAAGGGACTGAGAGAAAATAAATCCATAGCAATATTTTCAGATATGCCAAGGCAGCAGGACAAGAGAGCATAGGTATAGTCACGTGAAGGGCACATGTAGGACAGACACCAGGAATTATTTCTTTACTCAGAGGATAATTAACAGCTGGAATGGGTTACCAGCAATAGTGATAGAAACCAGGATACTAGACTCATTTAAGAAACAGCTTGATCCAGTCATGATAGTGGTGTAGATATTGTGTAAGGATGAGATCAAATGGGCCAAAGGATCTCTTCACCTGTACATCTCGTTACATCTGTCACTTGCTTTGTATATGTACTGAAAACTGACATCTCAATCACTAAGGCATCAACTTTATCAAACAAAACTGATACAGAGTGATCACCAACAATACCTCCTCAGACAGCAGCACATTTGGGAGTAATTCGTCACTTTTTAAACTTACCCAAGCCAAACTCCCCAATGGCCACCACTTTCCCTTTATTCTTGGTGGCTAAGTCTTTCAGATCAGCCAAATACTGCTCAGCATCATTCTGCTCAAATTCTGCACAACGTGTAGGGTGACAACCGACTGTACTGTAGAAAGCATCTGTGTGGAACAGCGACATTGCACAGAAATGATCAACAAGTTTTATCTGAAGCCATGTATTCTGTGCAACTTAAAATCCTGACTTAGACAGAATAATGTATGGTACAGTTTCCTTCTTATATATTGAAAAAGCTCTGCATACACAGATTGTTGGTACTACAGTGTAGCAGCTTCCTAATCTCACACAAATGCATTCTATATGACTTCAAAAAGAAATCCTTCCAACACACTCTTTTTCACTCTGTATTGGTCAAGATCCTTTAATTCTCATTCCTTTCCACACACCCCTATAATATCCGTGAAGCACTTTCAGACGTTCATCCTATGAGAAGGTGCTATTAAAGGTGCTATTATCTTACATATCATTTCCACGATAAAACAGAATTCATTTTCCAGTTATTAAAATATGAAAGTGCCTTTGTTATTAAAACATGGGCAATGTCGGACTTTTAATAAATGTAGAAATTTAAATCATAGATCTAACCATTTTAGCAACCTAATTACCATCTTTAGATTGTTGCTATCTAGAAATAACTAGTAAAACTTGAATATTCTGGTTTACGGCTTTCATACAAGGGTAGTGATGCATGTCCAAGCTCATTCCATTCGAAACACAGGGAAGTTTCCATGACTAAGTGGCATACATATGTGGAACTCAGTATGGTTTGGATACTATTAAGCAAGGTGCTAGATTTTGATAAGTCAGTCACCTGGCTGACTAACAAAAAAAAACAGAGAAAGCGAATAATTAGCTACAGGCCCCATCTCGTCAAAAATAGGGCATGTGCAGGAGCTGAACAATTTAAATGGTGTTGTAGGATTAGAACTGAACTAAATGTCAACAGTGAACACTCATCTGCCACTGAATTCAAGTAAAGGCAAGTTTTCGTTTTATAATGAAATTCTTCCCCGCTGTGTACAGTAGAATCCTGTAAAAAGGTACACTTTTAGAATAGACCAGTTGGCTTCCCGCCCACTAAAAATGACCCATTTTTATCAGGTCAACGCTACAGGAAGCTTCCTGTGCACAGTAAGCAACCTCGTCAGCGACAACAATGACCCTCAAGTGAGTTGTTTAATAATACAGAGAGGAAGCCAGCTTTCTATACCCATATGCATTGCATTGACTTGATGATCTCGCCTCAGTAGAAGCCGAGTTAGAATCTTATGGACCTCAACTTTCCACCTAATAATGGGATTCGCTGTAATTGATTCACTTAAATAGTCTAAAACACCCACCTTCGAGTTTGTTGCTGCTATTGGATTTGGCTGTCAACCAATTAAAGCTAATGCTTTCCTGCAATGAAAATTTTCCTTGTGCCATAGAATCAGTCACTAACCTGCACTTTGTTCATCAGCTTCCTGCAATTTATTGTAGATTTAGGGAAGCTGTTTGAGCATTAAAAAGAATCAGCTTTTATCATTTTGAAATTTCAATCCCAAGTCCTCTTAAGACTTATTGCCTGAAGCACCACCTATACTTAGCTTCTCAGACCATTTGTCTTGAACTGTAAGATCATGCGGAATCGTGGAAATTTCTTAAATTCAATCTGAATTTGGAAGATGTTTTAAAAAAAATTATTTTAAAAACATCAGGTTTCCAAATTGACCCTGAACTTACGAATTTCCACATGTATGCGTGTTCTACAACTTTAAGGCAAATTTGTCTAACAAGTTAAGATTGGGTGGAATTTAGATCCTTTAGTATGCTGCTCCTGTCTTCTCACAAACGCTACATACCTAGAATGGTATCTCTTATTTCCAATGTTCAGTTAAATACATCATTCGTAAAGCCAAGAAGGTGAAATAATGTTATATACTTTTTCACCTCCCTTGCCCAAATTTTCTCCTCTTTTAACATCTTCCCTCTTTCCCTGCCACGACTAATCAACTAACTCAGCACACACCAGGGATTGAACCGGGGACCTTCCTCATCTGCTTAGGCCAGTAATTTACTGAATAGAGTAAATGAACCATCAAAATAGCTCACTATTATACACTTCACGATTTTCATAATAGCTTAAACTATTAGGCTAGCATTCCAGGATTTGTTTTTATGTTATTGCAATCTTTCAAGCAAGAAAAAAACATACAAAAATATCAATACTGAAGATCAGCATTTTTGATTCCTTTTAAGTCCTGTATCCTGAAACATTCAACTGAAGAATTGATGAAATCAACAGCAAAAATTGTAGAGACATTTGTGGACAGGTTAATGTAATCCTGTCTCACCTTCAGAAGAATTGTAGAACAGGTTTTGTAACTTACCATTTGTCTGTGCCAGTTTCAGTGCATCTTTACTATCCTGCAAACTGCCTCCTGTAATCATGAACTGAACAATAGTTTCTATCAATAGATGAGACCTTAGACTTTAGTTCAGGTTAAATATACAGCCACCTTTTTAATTCTATGAACTAATTCCTTCATGGTTTCATATATTTGTCTTGGTTAAAGATTTTTTTTAAGATGAGCAAGAATGCCCCTACGAAGTTTAGTAAACAGGAGTTTAAGTACTATAACTCAATTAGGAAATAAATGTATTTTCAATTAATCTTTCCTCTAATACTGTTACCAATGTATTAAATATAAATTGCATTATATAGTGCCTTTCATGCCAGGAGGACATCCCATGGTGATGGAATGTCGAGGGTTTGTACATAAACTGGGGATTGGATTCAGGAGAGGTGAGGGTGGGTGGAAATGGGACGGGGGGGGGGGCGGGGGAAAGATGACCCAAGGTGCAGTCAGAGGAAAGTCCTGAGACAGAACATGAGGCAAGGCAAAGGGTCTCCAGGATGGAGTCCCAGAGATTGGGGGCAGATAGGCTGATGCTGGACTGCCAATGGTGAGGTGGACAGGGCAGGAGACATGAATGAAGCCAATGCCTGCTGAGAGAAGGGAGTAAGCAGGTTGGTAAGGTTTAAGAAGATCGTAGAACTAGGGTAAGTCACGATGGTCGAGGAATTTAAAAGTGAAGACAAGGATCTTGAACTCAATCCTCTGGGAGCTGGGAAGCCAGGCGATGATGGGGGTGATAGGCTCACGGAGCCCAGTTTAGGAGAGGAAATAATTTGCAGAGTTCTGAATGGTCTGCAGCTTGTGAGTGAAGAAATGGGAAATCCAGTGAGCAGAGAGTGGCATTGTCAAGCCTGGATATGATAAAAACATAAAAGAGGGTCTCAGCGGCCCGGGAGACCTGAGGGGGGAGGTAGTGGCGCAGGAGAGCAATGTTGGATAGGCGGGGTAAAGCTGAACAGGTCACGGCACGGATGTGGGTATTAATGGATAGTTGAGAATCAAACAAGACATTGATGTTGCGCACTTGGTCCTCTGAGGTGGAATGTGCATACATGTAGCTTGATGCTGTCAGTGCCTGAGGTGATATTACATAATGGATCAGCCCTGGACACCTCTATGAGAACATACAACAATAAATGGAGCACACACACAGGGTGGGGGGGTAAACTTTTTGTAGATTGTCCAAGTGATCTTTTGAACTGCCACTGAAGTTCATATTTAAGCATTAAAGATGTAAAAGGCATGCATATTTTATCAAGTGCTGATCTATATCCAAAGTTTTCATGGTAACTAGAATACACGAGGACAGAACATCTGATACCCAACGAATATAATTTATGACCCATCTGCTGCAATCCTTCCTTGTCTTTATTAAGGGAATAGTTTGGCTCAGTTAATAGCACTTGTCTGTGGGTTGTGGGATGAAGCCTTGGGTCCTTGGCTCAGTCTAGACTGACATTCTAAGGCTCTATTGGAGTGAGCGTTACATTATTGATGGAATGTTAAACTAAAGCCCCGTTTACCTGCTCCTCGTGTCGACTTTAAAAATCTCACAACACTTTAATCATTCTTACATTTGATAGTGTCTTAATACATCATCGGAACATCTCAAAGGGCATCACAGGATTTTACTGTGAAGTGTAACGACTGTGTATTTCTAGGTGAATGTGGCAGCCAATTTGCGCACAGCAATGTCCTATAAACAACTGAACCGAGTGACCAATTTTTATTTGGAGAGATTGTTGGCCAGGATACAGTGAGAAACTTTGTTCTCTTTCAAAGTTGCCATGAGATCTCTAATATCCACCTGAACAGGCAGACAGGACCCAGTTTAATATCTCCTCCGAAAGATAGCACCTCTAACAATGCAGCACATCCTCAGCACTATATTATAGTGTCAGCCTAAACTGTGATTTCAAAGTCTTAACAAGGGGCTTGAACCCACAACCTTCTGACTCAGACTAGAGAACCATCAACTGAGCCAAGCTGACACTTTTTCAAAAAGAGAAGTGTTTGCCAACAAATGTCCACCTCATGTTCTTTTGTGGAATTTGCTGTAGGCAAAATGGACACCTACTAAAAAGTTACGACACTATGAGATGTTTATGGGCGATAAAAATCCAAGTTCCTTCTTTAGTAAAATTATAGAGTGAGGTCACTCATTTTGAGGGTCGACTTCATCACAGTTTTGATAATTATTCCAAAAGTCAATGACCTTCTACAAGATGTGGCTTAATTTTACTTATCACTGTTTATTATTGTTTAATCCCAACAGTAGAATTGTGCGACTCAGCAGCTGAGCACCAATCGGGGAGAGAGAAGTGGCAATGAAACAACATGACTTTGGGAAAACATTTCAGAAGTCGTTTTTGCCTCGCCATTTATTTTACCTTTTGAACTCCAGTTTTGAAAGCTCTCTGCATCACATCCGAAAAGTCATCTGTAAAAGCACACACATAGAGCGACTGAATTTCTGAACCTCTACAATCTAGGCAAGCAGGTGGGCACTTTGCCATTCACAGCTCTTCGTGATTAAATAATACATTCAATACAGGAGGCAATGTAGTTATTTCAAGTAACTCAAGCAAAGACTTCAAAGATTCCTCGACTTTTTGGAGGCCCCATTTGCAGGGCCCTTGACAAGCAGGAAGAATTGAGATTTTGGCTTTGTTTTTTTATAGGGGGAAGGGAATCATATCTCTAAACCAGCTTGTTTAAGCAACTCTTTACATTCCTGTCAACCATCATCTGCCTTTATTCCTTTGCACCTTCAAATGAAAATGTTTCCAGAAGTTGCTTCTCTTTCTCCCCCTCCCTCAATATTTCTTTTTTTACTTTCTTTTCCTTACTTTTTTGTTGGTAGCGAGAAGGCAGCCAGGAATAACACAGTAATTCAAGTAGTTCAAGATCCTGGTCCTCACCTACAAAGCACTCCATGGCCTCGCTCCACCCTATCTCTGCGACATCCCCTACCAACCCGCCCGCTCCCTCTGCTCAGCGAGCTCCGCCTGCTCCACGTCCTCCGACCCACCCACCCCCAACCTCTGGAATTCCATCCCCCAATTACTCCTCCTCGCCCCCTCCTCAGCCTCCTTCAAGTCCCGTCTCAAAACTCTCCTCTTCGACCATGCCATCGGTCACCCCCCTTCCCCTCCCCTCCTTTCTCCCCCCCCGACCCCAGCTCGGGTTTGAAATGCTGTACTCTGTCCAACGCCTTGGGACGTCCTCCCGACGTGAAAGGTGCTATACAAATGTAATCTTGTTGTTATAATACCAAGAAATCTTACAGACCATTAGTGAGATAAGAGTTTGCCCCAGTGGGAGATAAAGTGGGAGATTGAAACAAAAAGGAATACAGCAAAACAAAAAACATTGGAAAAAGCAATTGACAGAAGAGGGAACAAAAATAAAAATTCTAGGTTGGGACCAACTGGAAGCATTGCAAGACAACAAAAATACAAAGGAAACAGCACAAGAGTTTTGTTGCAGACTAAAAAGAATAGCAGAAACGTGTGATTGTAGACTTGACATCTTAACACCTGGAAAAGCTTGTGCATATAATCCAATTGATATGGTACAGCATCCCATTAAAAACACTTTAAAAGGCTTGTTTTTATCCAATCATTAACTTCAATTTTGTCAGAGTTTCTCCTCCATCTCCACCCACCAACACATTCAATTCTAAAGACGGAATATTTAAATAAGGTCATTGCCTCTGAAACTAACCAACCATAGGTAGCGATTGCTATTCATGTTATTATTTTTTAATTGAGGGCAAGCTACAAATGAACTTAAAATTCTCTGTATGTCTGTATTGCTTGCTAAAGGTAACTTCAGACAAGGAGGCAGGTTACTACCACCAGAGGTCTCTGTAAATACACCAGTTACAGCACAAAGCTAAAAGCCTAAATTGAATTCTGCTTAAACAGCTAAAAATTCTCATCCTTGTTGATAACAACTTATCTTTTTCCTCGCTCAATATCCAGCCCAATAAATGTGAATCACTTGCGAGATGATATCCTATGTGAAAGGTGCTATATAAATGAACATTGTTGTTGACAAGAGCAGTACTTCTGGGGGATACAGCAAAGTAAATCATTTTATCATAACCTGCTTTAATCCTTTTGACAAAACAATCAACCAGTTTTAGCATCCTAGTCAGCACTTTAAAAGCCTCATTAGAACATAACTCTGTTTATAATACGAGTCTCCTCCAACCCGCAGTTACCAGAAGTATGGTACACTTCTTAATGCACATTCCATTCCAGACACTGGAACATTTCCATGTGTAGGTGGCAGTCTGGTGTGATTTTCTTAAACATAGTACTGAATTTATGAATGTGTCAAGACACCTTAGTCAATGATAACCGTTAGAATGCGGTGTCTAATTTTATGCACCCAAAATAAAAAAAATTAGCCTTGAACATGCCAATATTAGTAATTATCTAACCTCACTCTAAATGCTTATCTGATCTCTGAAAGATTAGTTTACCATTTCAAAAAGTACAACAAATGTCAGGGTTCAATAGAATCTGACCAACATATTTCTAACATATCTGGATTTTATGTAACCACATTCTCCATTCATGAGTATAGGTAAATATAAACAGCAGCACCTCATAGTCGATAAAAATGCCTGGTTATCTTAATGCAAAGGATAAATTATCTGATTAATTACAAATCACAATTTACCTTGATGTTTTTGAGAACCACGGTAAATGCCACGAAACATGGGATCTGTTAGATTTATACCGATATCTGTTCAAATAAAAAGAAAGAAAAAGACATAAAGAATGTACTGAGGAACTAAAACTGAAAGAGGTCAATGAAAGAGGTCAAAGGGGGGAAAAGCTAAAAAAAATTTTAACTAAGCCATATAGAGCAAAAACACAGAATTAATTCCCAGTCTACACATAGGGGGGAAGACAACCAGAGGTCCTGCTCATAATTACTACCAGGTGACCCCAGTATTAATGGATTTATAAACATTCTGGATAAAACTGCTCCAACGTAAATGAAATAATGCAAAATACATAGAATCGTATTCACTCATGCATGCTAATTCAGAAAGAAAGAAGAGGTATAGGGCAGAGAACACAAAGAAGGGCTGTAATTTATAATGATGTATTATGTCAGTATTATGTGTACTTGAATATCATTAAATACTCAGAAAATAGAAGGATATCAAAAGCTGCAGCATCAGGATCCCCTGCCCACCCAAGTATGATGGAGAATAGCCAATAGTGAGTTGCTGGGAGTGACATTTCTGATCAGGAAGAGTGACACAGATTGCCACTTAACACAGATTACCACTTAACACTTGCCATTTAACACTTGAAACACTTCATTTCAATACTGGCACGTGTCAAGACATCTTTACACCACTGCAAGTTGCAGTCACACTGTTTCTTTCACAAACATCTCAAAACGCTTTAGAGATGGGGACGATGAGAGAGAGGAGACTGAAGCCCAAAAAACAAACCAAGAGACAAGCCTCCCAAATAAGCAACATTTGGCAGATATTTCTGAGGATATTGGTGCCGGGCTGCCCAATTCCAGTTGTTTCGTGCCAGGGATGTATATATGTATGTTCTAAGTGGCCTGGATGCTGCCCAGGGCGCTGTATAAATGTGAGTTGTTGTTGTTGTATTGTGTGTGGGGGAGGTTGGGGGGACAGAGGTCCTGATGTGTGTGTGTGTGGGTGTGGACCGGATGGCTTCTGTGCATGTATGTGTCTGTGATTGTATGTGTCTGTGATTGTATGTGTATGTGCCTCTCTGTGTGTATGTGTCTGTGATTGTATATGTCTCTGTGTGTGTGTGCCTGTATTTATGTGCGTGTATGTATGTGTATGCATGTGTATGTATGCATGTATGTGTGTATGTATGCATGTGTGTATGTGTAATTATGTGCGTGTGTGTGTGCATGTGTGTATGTGGGTGTGTGTGTATATGTGTGTGGGTGTATGGCTGTGTATGTGGGTGTATGTGGGTGTGTGGGTGTATGTGGGTGTGTGTGTATGTGGGTGTGTATGTGTATATACATATGTGCGTGTGTTTATGTGGGGATGTGGGTGTGTGTATATATGTGTGTGTGTGTGTATATGGGTGTGTGTGTATGTGCGTGTGTATATGTATATGTGTGTGTATGTGGGTGTGTCTGTGTATATACGTATGTGCATGTGTGTATATATGTATGTGTGTGTGTATGTGGGTATGTGTGTATGTGTGTGTATATATGTGTGTGTGTGTGTATATGTGTGTGCATGTATATGTGTGTGCATGTATATGTGTATGTGTGTGTGTACACGTGTGGTGTGTATGTAGGAGTGTGTGTGTATGTGGGTGTGTGTGTGTATGTGTGTGGGTGTATGTATGTGTGTGTGTATGTGGGTGTGTGTATGTATATACGTATGTGCGTGGGTGTATGTGGGTGTGTATATGTGTGTGTGTGTGTATGTGGGTGTGTATATGTGTGTGTGTTTGTATGTGTGTGTATATATGGGTGTATTTGTGTGTACATATGTGTGTGTGTATGTGTATGTGGGTGTGCATATGTGTGTGTTTGTATGTGTGTGTATATATGGGTGCGTTTGTGTGTATATATGTGTGTGTATGTGGGTGTGTCTATATGTGGGTGTATATGTGTATATACGTATGTGTGTGTGTGTATATACGTATGTGCGTGTGTGTATGTGGGTGTGTATATGTGTGTGTGTTTGTATGTGTGTGTATATATGGGTGTATTTGTGTGTACATATGTGTGTGTATGTGGGTGTGTGTGTATGTGTGTATATATGGGTGCGTTTGTGTGTATATATGTGTGTGTATGTGTATGTGAGTGTGTGTGTATGTGGGTGTATATATGTGTATATATGTATGTGTGTGTGGGTATATATGGGTGTGTGTGTGTGTATGTGGGTATATGTGGGTGTGTGTATATCTATGTGTGTGTGTGTGTTGTGTGTATGAGGGGTACAGGTCTCGGGGACCCCTCTCTCTCTCTCTCGAGCCGTGGCTCCGGCTCTCACTCTCACTCACCGATAAAGGTGAAGACTCCCATCCTCCGCACCGGGGCCAGAGCCGCCGCCATCCGCACTGACCCGGAAGCGGAGCCGCGGCCTGAGGTGACCCCGGGCGGCGGCGGCGCCAAGTTTTAATGTGGAGAGAACGGCGCCCAATCCATCCCCAGGCAGCAGCCAGGCCCCGCCCCCAGCCAGGCCCCGCCCCCAGCCAGGCCCCGCCCCAGCCAGGCCGCCCAGCCAGGCCCGCCCCCCAGCCAGGCGCCCGCCCCAGCCAGCCCCGCCCCCAGCCAGCCCCCCCCCCACCACCCCGCCCCCAGCCAGGCCCCGGCCAGGCCCCGCCCCAGCCAGGCCCCGCCCCCAGCCAGACCCACCCAGCCAGCCCCCCAGCCAGCCCCGCCCCCAGCCAGGCCCCGCCCCCAGCTCCGTCCCCAGCCCCGCCTTCCCCAGCCCCGCCCCCAGCCCGCCCCCCAGCCCCGACTTCCCCAGCCCCCCAGCCAGCCCGCGCCCCCCAGCCCCGCCCCCAGCCCAGCCGCCCCCCCACCACCCCCGCACAGCCGCCCCCCACCCCACCCCGCAGAGCCGCGCCCCCACCCCCCCCGCACAGCCACCCCCCACCACCCCCCGCACAGCCGCTCCCCCACCCCCCCCCGCACAGCCGCCCCCACCCCCCCCGCACAGCCGCCCCCCACCCCCCCCGCACAGCCGCCCCCCCGCACAGCCGCCCCCCCACCCCCCCCGCACAGCCGCCCCCCACCACCCCCGCACAGCCGCCCCCCCACCCCCCCGCACAGCCGCCCCCCCACCACCCCCGCACAGCCGCCCCCCCACCCCCCCGCACAGCCGCCCCCCACCCCCCCCGCACAGCCGCCCCCCCCCACCCCCCCTGCACAGCCGTGATAATACCACCAGTGATAATAGAGCCTACAACACGCCTGAGTCATTTCAAAGCGCTTCACAGGCTTTTACTGTGCATTTGTGGGCAAACGCGGTGGAGGGTTTCCGCACAGTAATGTCCTACAACCAGCCATGAAGTGAAACCAATTTTATCTGATATATTGTGAGAAACTATAAATTTCATAAAAACGTAGGAACAGGAGTAGAGCCTTCAACCCTTGAGCCTGTTCTGCCATTCTATACTGCGCCATGACTGATCTGTACCTCAAGTCCAATTACCCGTCCTGCCCCATATCCTTTAATATCCTGACCTAACAAATCGCTATCCACCTCAGCCTTGAAGATGTGAATGGATCCAGCATCCACAGCCTTTTGGGGGAGAGAGTTCCAGAGTTCACCTTTGGAACATTTCCCCAACGTATGGGCAGATCTGTGCAGGAATTATGAATATTTGCTACTCCACAGGATTCAGAAATTTTCAAAGGCAACATTTAAGAAGTTCAATGTAATCCTCAGTAAATGTGTATTTCAAGTAAGACTCTTAGTGCAAAGTGCAAGTAACTGCTACTCAGTAATGAAAGCCACGATAAAATATATATAAGAAGAAAAACGCAATTTGCGTAATATGCTTGAATTTTGGAGTGAATAAAAGAACTTTAAAAGCACATTGCATGCAAAATTATAACATGTGAATACTCTAACTGTAAATAGAGTATTGTATTCAACTTTGATCACCCCACTTTAGGTAGATTGTCAGGTAATAGAAAGGTTGCAGATTTGCTTGGATGATACCAGGGACAAGACTATGAGAGGACACTGGAGAAACTGTGCCTATTTTCAATAGAACACAAAAAGGGGATTCCGGTTAAAAAGGTCTTTACAATTATGCGTTTTGATAGAGAATTATTGACTAGAGGACATCAATTTAAGATAATTGGCAAAGCAAGAGATCAGGAGGAATCCTAAGAGAAGTAGAGATGCAGCGATCTGGGGATTCAGATCCACAAATCTCTTAGTAACTTCACCGATAGATAAGGCTATAAAAAGGGACAATGGAGTCTTGGGCTTTATATGCAGAGAGATAGAGTATAAAAATTAGACGGTGATGTTGAATTTGTCCAAAACCTTGGTTAGAAAAAACATTTGGAGTACTGTGTCCAATTCTGATTTCCACACTATAAAGAGAATATAGCAGTGATGGAAAGAGTACAATTTTGGATTATTAAGATGAAAACAGGGCTATCAGGTTACTGCTGTCAGGAGAGACTGGTAGGTAAGGCCTTTTTTCACTAGAAAAGAGACATTTAACAGGGTCCAAATAGATGTATTTAAAATTATAAAAGGGTTTAATAAGGTTAACATAAATAGGCTGATTCCACTGGGTAGGGAGTCCATATCAGAGACACAGGTACTAGGGGATCTAAAAGAGAATTCATGAGGAACTGCTTCATACGGAGAGCAGTGAGAATCTCAGACTTGCTGCTTGAAGTGGTGATTGAATCAAATAGTATAGACGCATTCAAGCGGAAGCTTGTCCTTCAAATGAGGGAGAGGGGAATAGAAAAGTAAGGAAAGGATGGAGATTTATGTGGAGTATAAACACCAGCATGGACTAATTGGACCGGGTGGCCTGTTTCGATGCGGTACATTTTTGTACATCTTTGAATATTTTTTCAAAGAGTTGTTAATATGTAGAATGCCCTGCATGGTTGGTAGTCAAGGCAAAATCCAAAATTAGCTTTCAAGAGGGAAGCAGATAGAGATGTAAAAAGGAATAATTTGTAGGTTTGGGGAAATTAAACTGAAAGGATTGCTTTCAAAGAGCCAGCTCAGATACAATGCGCTGAATGGTTTTCTTCTGTGCTGTAAATTTCTATAGTTCTATTCAAATTATAGCATATCAACAGAACATAATTTTGAGAGCTAAAATGTGAATTGGGATGTTCCAATAAGAACTAGGTAATACTCCAGTGCAGCGATGGATAGTGCTGCTTTGTCAGAGGTGCCATCCTTTGAATGAAACATTGCCAAGTTTTTGGGACATCCTCCCAACGTGAAAGCCACTACGTAAGTGTAAATTGTATTGTATTGTAAATTGTATTGTAGACCAAGATTTTGTCTGCCAGTTCAGGTGGATTTCAAAGAACCCATGACAGTATTCAAAAGGAGAAGGGATATTTTTTCTTGATGTCCTGCCAAAAATCCTCAAGTTAAATTGCTCATTCACCTCCTGGCTATTTGTGGGACATTGCTCTACACAAATTGCCTGCCACATTTGCCTACAAATAAACTACAGAAAAATTCTGTAAATTGCTTTAAGATAGTTCAATGTAAGGTGTTATATCAAATACAAAGATTTTTATTAAATAATTCATGAAAATCAATAAGACTTTACTGGCTTCCAATTCAAACTGCAATGGAGGAGGAGAAAGATTATTCATTGTCAATGGATTGAGTTTTGGTCAGAATTGTAGGTTTTGATTGAATATTTCCCAGTTTGTATTATCCATGTTGAGGGGGGTGGCAATATTTTTAACAATTTAAAACAGTGTTACTTAACATTGGTGTTAATTCATAGATTCATAGAAAGTACAGCTCAGAAACAGGCCATCTAGTCCAGCCACTGCTTATACTCCACACAAGTGAAATTACAAATTAATTAACATATCACAAATCACAATTTGTACCTCAATACACACATGATTCTAACCATCATGCCAAAGAGAGCAAAATTAGATACTTTGCTATATTTTTATAGTTAAAGCTAGAAAAATAGAAATTTTTACCGTCTTTCCAAAATGTTGGTTAATCTGTTCAATACATCTTTCTCAAACATCCTAAGATTTTGGAGGTTGATCTGTTCAGTTTATTAGGTACAGTAAATTGTTTAATGTAGGCTCATGAAGGAAAATTAGTAGTTCATAAGCAAGTTTTTCTTGACGGGTGAGAGAAATTCATATTGTTCAAAATTAGCTATTTTATTTTAAAATAAATATCAGCCAAATCAGATCAGAATCATTCTGATTCAAGTCAGCATTCGCTCTATTCTATACTAATAATGTACTTCAACCTTAACCACCATCCTAGTGCATCTATCATGTCCAACACTCACTGAATGCACTCTCCAAGTAAGACTGGACAATTAGTATTGAATCATGATGTGTTTTGTTTTGTGAACCCTTGGTCCAGTGGGAGCTGTGCTGAGACTGCTCAAACATGCCTCACCATGAGAGCTTTAGTAGCTGTCAGAGAGCTGAGATGCTCAGACATTTTAATCCTGCCTGTGTGGGCTGAATTTGAGTTAACATATTAGAACATACTCTAAAGTAAGCAGGTTGACGCTTAAGGCTCGAACAGGGGACAGGTCTTGCTACTTTCACAGTCCTTACATTTTGATGCACTATATTAACAGCATCTAATGCAAGATATCAACAATGTTTCAGAGTTGATCAAGAACCAGAATAGCTAATAGCAGAAATAAATTAAAATTAAATTTTACATCTGAAAGTACTCTATGAATTAATTTAAATTAACTTTTGGAATGTACTATGATTAATATTCATAATATTAATCTCACCGTTGGAATTAAGAAAGCTCCTCTACAATAATATGCATTTATGTGAACAAAATTACATTAATCATATTGACATATGGTTTCCTAATGTATTGATATTAATAGTCAACAACAATAAGGTTAAGAGCAATGGATAATCTGTGTGGTCCCTGGTGTGGCACTTTTGATAGTAAGTGTGCGAAGATAGCAAATCTTTACCACTGACCTGTAAGTGCTGGATCACTCACATCCCTCCAGAGTAATTTACTGCTGGATTAATTCAGTTTTTCAAAGACATAATGTTTTATGTCTCTCGCAAGTCTAACTGACAGCTACCACTTCATACCTTTGATAGCTCCACTCTTTGATAGCTCCACTCTTGGACCCTCTTCATCTATTGACATTCTTGGCCTGAACATCATTGCTGAAATAAAACTCTTCGCCTTCATCAGTGAAGCTACCTCCATTACTCTAGTTTTCTTTTTTTGGGCATAGTAGTTCTTTTGTCCTCATTTATTTTTTGACCAGCCGAGTGTCTGACATACACGGAAATCTATTACCATGTTTAAGAGTATCTAAACGAAATATCGAGTTCCATGCATCCCACCTATACATGTAAATTTCCAACATGTTTATTGGAATCGAATGCACACTCTCTCCCTGGAGGGATGCATCCTGCTTACATAATTCTGGATTAGGCGCAGATTGGCAAGAGTCAAGGCTTGGGGTTCCCAGCGAAAACCACAT